CATCACAATTTTATTCATTACATTTGGCCCGGCCCTTAGTTTTTAAATGTGTCGTGATATTATCTATATATATAAATCTGTTAGGTTGGTTCAACCGGACAGCAAAACTCCACAACCCCCCAACGAAACTTAACCAAACTTCCCACAAGGCAGAGACAAACCAATGCCCTGGGCCATACATTATACAAAAAACACACTGGGATCCATATATTACAACTACATTTCATTGGCTGGCCAAAGGCTAAAATCTATATATATAAATCTGTTAGGTTGGTTCAACGGGACAGCAAAACTCCACAACCCCCCAACGAAACTGCACCAAAATTGCCATGCCCCAAGGACAACCCACTCGGTACAAACTAATCCACTCAGAATTGAAAACAACACAACAACACAACGATAAATTGCCAAAACAACTGAGCATGCGCACTGGAGCAAAGCCCCCAGCGCGCGCACACACATGGCCGAACGGCCAATGCACCCTCCGCACTTCCCTCCCTCCCTCGCCCAGCACGAACACGTCGCCGCCCACAAACACACACACACACGCATCGCAACTTCCCCCCCCCCTTCCCTCCACCCCCTCCTTCATCTTACCCCTCCCACGCTGCCTCCAAGCCTCGCCGCGCCGCATACCCACCGGAAAGACACGCCTCCTCCCTTCGCCCCACCCCTTCCCTCCCTAACTCACTCCATCCAATTCTTTTACAAGGTCTTTAGCTTGCACTGACAAAGAATGCTTACTTACTTACTTAGGCGATCCCTTGTAGTCCGAGCATGATGGTCCTCCAAGTTCGGTGTCCTGGCGGTGGGTTCGTAGGTGGCTGTGGAGCCCTATTCTTGACCTGCATCTTCTCCCGCAGTGAGGGCATCGGTTTCCAGGTGGGAGGTGGTCCCGGTCGGGGTTGGCTTGACGCGCCTTCCTCTTGGCACGTTTCTCTCTTTCGCCCTCCATTTGTGCCTCTTCAAATTCTGCAGCACTGCTGGTCACAGCTGACCTCCAGCTGGAGCGCTCAAGGGCCAGGGCTTCCCAGTTCTCAGTGTCTATGCCAGTTTAGGTTGGCTTTAAGCCCATCTTCAAATCTCTTTTCCTGTCCACCAACATTATGTTTCCAGTTCTTGAGTTCGGAGTAGAGTAACTGCTTTGGGAGACAGTGATCGGGCATTCAGACAACATGGCTGTCCAGCAGAGTTGATGGCGGAGGACCATCGTTTCAATGCTGGTGGTCATTGCTTCTTCCAGCAAGCTGAGAGAGGTAAGGTAGGTGTGTAACTAATGTGTGGTATACGTGACATTCTTTGGTTTTGTTGCGTGGCAGTGTTGCCACTATTAAAGTTCCAACCCTCGTAATCCGTTTTGCAGACAGAATACTGATGGGATGGGCAAACATGATGTGATGGGACCTGTTTAAAATCATTCTCAAACAGTCTCAGGACCTCATCACTTGAGACAATGAATCCACTTTAAATCCGATTGCTGCCTCCTGTAAAATTCTAGGGTTTGTAGTTGGGGGAGGAGTCTTTAACAGTCTCCCTAAACTACAAACCCCAGAATTCTGCAGGAGGCAGAAAACATATTTAAAGCGGATTCATTCTCTAGTGTGATGAAGTAGTCAGAAATGGATTATATTCCAATGCGATAAGGTCCTGTAAGGGTCCTTCCACAACGCAGAATATCAAGGCAGATAATCCACAATATCTGCTTTGAATTGCGAGCCCTTCCACACAGCCCTATGTCCCAGAATATCAAGACAGAAAATCCCACAATATCTGCTTTGAACTGGGATATATGGCACTGTGGACTCAGATAACCCAGTTCAAGGCAGATATTGTGGGATTTTCTGCCTTGATATTCTGGGACAAAGGGCTGTGTGGAAGGGCCCTGGGGTATCTGAATCCACACTGCCATATAACCATAATCATTATCAGAACAAATGCCATCAAAGCCAGAACTGAAAAGTCGATGACAGATCCCAAGTGTAGACTCTGCAAGGAAGCAGATGAAACAATAGATCACATCCTCAGCTGCTACAAGAAGATCACGCAGACAGTTTACAAGCAAAGGCATAACACCATTGCTCAGATGATTCATTGGAACTTGTGCCACAAATAACATCTGCCTGCCTGTGGAAGGGTTATGTTTTGTTGCACCTTGCAAACCTCCTGTTCTCATCTCATTTATTTGCTTCCGTCATATAGTAACTTTTCCTTTCGCTAATATAATCTTGGAGAAGGTAATCGGCTAGATGTTTATACCAAGTTTTTATATCCCATTTCTTGTGGTCCTTCCAGCCTAGGGCCACTGAGGCTTTGATTGCCTCTATCATGTGATTTATTATTTCCTCACTTTCTTTATATTCCCCTTTACTTTTATCTTGGGCATCGACCGAGCCAGTATAGACTTAGTTTTGGTTTGCTTCTCCATAGTGCTAATGGGTTAGGTGCTCTTAGTTCCACTCCTCAGCTGAGACCTCTTTGACTTGGTTGGACCTGCTGGTAGTTACACTACGGCCAGCACAGCTCTCAGCATCCTTGGAGCAGTTAAGCCCCCCACTACGACAAGGTGGCAACCATTGGGAGGGGCGGGGGGTTGGGTTAGGTTGTGATATGAAATCCAGCATATATATTTTGTTTGCTGTGACATACTGTGTTTTTGTGTTAGAATAATAATAATAATAATAATAATAATAATAATAATAATACAATATAAGCCAGTAAAGGTGGTCCCAGTGGTGATCGGCACATTGGGTGCATTTCCTAAAGACCTTGGCCTGCACTTAAACACAATCGCCGCTGACACCATCTGCCAGCTGCCAGCTGCAGAAGGCCACCTTACTGGGATCTGCACGCATTATTCGCCGATACATCACACAGTCCTAGACACTTGGGAAGTGTCCAACGTGTGATCCAATACAACAGCCAGCAGAGAGATCTTCTGGTGTGGACTCATCTTGTTGTGTTTCTAATAATAATAATAATAATAATAATAATAATAATAATAATAGTAATAATAATAATAAAAAATATCTGTCAACTGCAAAAGGCCACCTTACTTGGATTTGTGTGCATCATTTGAAAATACATCACACAATCCTAGATGCTTGGGAAGTGTTCGACTTGTGATTTTTTTAATACGAAATCCAGCATATAGATCTCGTTTGCTGTGGCATACGATGCTTTTGTGTCAGTAAAATAATAATAATAATTAAAATACTTTATTTATACCCCGCCACCATGTCCCCAAGGGGACTCAGGGCAGCTTACATGAGGCCAAGCCTAGCAATTACAACAAAGCAAAAATCCAACATAAAAAATACACCTAGCTCCAACAGACAAGAGTTCTTTGCCCCACCCTGGTCATTCCACAGATATATCAACCCACTTTCCTAGTTCCAATAGACCTCACTACCTCTGAGGATGCTTGCCATAGATGCAGGCGAAACGTCAGGAGAAAATGCCTCTAGAACATGGCCATATAGCCCGAAAAAACCTACCATAGCCCAGTGATTCCAGCCATGAAAGCCTTCGACAATACATAAAAAATACAGCAATAAAATATAATGAAAATAATAATACAAAAAAAATAATACAGAGTGCAATATAAAACCACAATAATTGGACACAATGGGCAGGGCCAGTTGCAAAGATTAAAACGTTTAAAAACACTGGGTGAGATGAGCAATGTAGTGTAACCCAGTTCAAAGCAGATAATATGGGATTTTATACTTACTTACTTACTTACTTATAATAATAATAATAACTTAGGCGATCCCTCGTAGGACGAGTAAGATGGTCTTCCTTGATGACTATTTTTGTGGGTTTGTAGGTGGCTGTGGAGCCTTACTCTTGACCCGCATCTTCTCCTACAGTGAAGGCATTGGTTTCCAGGTGGAAGGGGGTCCCGGTCGGGGTTGGCTTGACGCGCCTTCCTCCTGGCACGTTTCTCTCTTTCACCCTCCACTCGTGCCTCCTCAAATTCTGCAGCACTGCTGGTCACAGCTGACTCCAGCTGGAGCGGTCAAGGGCCAGGGCTTCCCAGTTCTCAGTGTCTATGCCAGAGTTTTTAAGGTTGGCTTTGAGCCCATCTTTAAATCTCCTTTCCTGTCCACCAACATTCTTTCCGTTCTTGAGTTCAGAGTAGAGCAACTGCTTTGGGAGACGGTGGTCAGGCATCTGGACAACGTGGCCGGTCCAGCGGAGTTGATGGCAGAGGACCATCGCTTCAATGCTGGCAGTCTTTGCTTCTTCCAGCACGCTGACGTTTGTCCACTTGTCTTCCAAAGATATTTGCAGGATTTTCCGGAGGCAGTGCTGATGGAATCGTTCCAGGAGTTGCATGTGACGTCTGTAGACAGTCCACGCTTCGCAGGCATATAGCAGGGTTGGGAGGACAATAGCTTTATAGACAAGCACCTAGGTATCCCTATGGATGTCTCAGTCCTCAAACACTCTCTGCTTCATTCAGGAAAATGCTGCACTCGCAGAGCTCAGGCGGTGTTGTATTTCGGTGTCAATGTTGACTTTGGTGGAGAGGTGGCTGCCAAGGTAGCAGAAATTGTCAACATTTTCTAATGTTACACCATTAAGTTGTATCACTGGCATTGGGGAGGGGATGGCTGGTGACTACTGGAACAGCACTTTGGATTTCTCGATGTTCAGTGACAGGCCAAGCTTCGTGTATGCTTCTGCGAAGGTGTTTAGAGTGGCTTGTAGATCTTCTTCTGAATGCGCACAGACGACATTGTCATCAGCATACTGGAGTTCTATAACAGATGTTGTTGTAACCTTGGTTTTGGCTTTCAGTCTGCTGAGATTAAACAGCTTGCCATCTGTCCGATAGATGATTTTCACTCCGGTGGGAAGCTTCCCGTCAACAAGGAAGGGGACTAAGTGTAATGAGATGGCCAAGTTTGGCTTTGAAGGGGAGGGGAGAGAGATCAGCAGTTCCTCGCTGCGGCCACAAGGTGGCGCCGCACCGTCGCGGAAGGAGAGGCGGCGCCGGCGAGAGGAAGGGACTTCTGAGCAGGCCTCTTTCTGGCTTCAGGCACAGGAAGTAAAGGTATTTTGCATCTCCAGGAATCCCTTCTTTCTCGGTTTGGCGGACTTCCGTTTCGAGGGAGAACCAGTTTGGCCCAGGTGCAGTAGCCTTCTCTCATAGATATTTCTGTCTCTTCTCTTCTTTCTCCCTCCTTTTTTTGCTGCTTCCCCCAGTTCATTTCATTCTCCTCCCGCCTTTTGCCTCTTCCTTCTCCAGGCTGTTGCTTTGGGTCCCCTTCCCTCTCTGTTCTTCATCCCCCTTCTGCTGTTTTTTTTCCCCGCCTTAGTGCTACCCCCACTTTTTCGTCCTCTTTCTCATTTTTTTGCAACCTCTCTCAATTCTCTTCATCCTCTCAGAAGAAAAAAAAAGCATTAAGTGTGTCTACACTGAAGAATTAATGCAGTTTGAGAGAACTGTAACTGCAACTGGCTCAAAGCTATGGAATTCAGGGAGTTGTAGTTTCTCCAAGGTCTTTAGTGCTCAACCAAACTATGGGCCCTCCCACATAGCCATATAACGCAGAATATTAAGGCAGATAATCCACAATATCTGTTTTTATTTGTTTTATTTATTTATTATTTAAACTTATATGCTGCCACTCCCCTTGTAAGCTCGGAGCGGCTTACAAGGATGGCTAAAATCTAACAAAATTTAAAAGCAATTTAAAACAATTTAAAAACAGTAATATCAAACATTTAAAGCCTGTCAAAACAGGTATGTCTTACATGCCCTGCGGAAAGGTGGTAAGTCCCGCAAGGCACGGACTTCAGGTGGCAGAGTATTCCAGAGTGATGGTGCCACTGCTGTGAAGGCTCTGCATCTGGTTGCTGTTAGACGCAAGGTCTTGACACTGGGAATTTCCAATAGATCTTGGTCCTCAGAATGGAGGGATCTCTGGGGTTGGTAGGGGGTGAGGCGGTCCCTCAGGTACATCGGCCCCAGACCATGCAAGGCCTTAAAGTTGAGTACCATCACTTTGAAAGTGATCCGGTGCTCAATTGGTAACCAATGCAGCTGTAGTAAGATTGGTGTTATGTGGCATCTCATCGGAATTCCCGCAAGAAGCCGAGCAGCTGCATTTTGTACCAACTTGAGCTTCCGGATCACCGACAGAGGAAGGCCAATGTAGAGGGCGTTACAGTAGTCCAGTCTTGAGATGACCGTGGCCTGGATCACCATAGCTAGGTCGTCCCTGGACAGGTAGAGTGCCAGCCGTCTAGCGTGCCGCAGATGAAAAAAGGCGGTTCTGCTAACGGCGGAGACCTGGGCCTCCATCGTCAGCAGAGGGTCCAAAAGGACTCCCAGACTCTTTACCAATGATGACGGGCGTAGCGCCTCGCCATCCAGGGTAGGCAGCTGGATGTCCCCACTGCCCGGTCGACCCAGCCATAGGATCTCCGTCTTTGCTGGATTCACCCTCAACCTGCTGGCATGCAGCCATCCAGTAACGGCCTCGAGGCACTGATGGAAACCGGATTATCAGAGTCCACACTGCCAGAAGAGAGGGGGCCCAGGAAGACAGTTCCAGCTTGTCTCCTGTGTTATGCTAATAATATAATATATTGTGTATACATATAATATTTATAATATTATAATGTAATACTTTTTTATTGTGTCAGGAGCGACTTGAGAAACTGCAAGTTGCTTCTGGTGTGAGAGAATTGGCCATATGAAATATTTTGATGTTTTATCATCCTTGTGGGAGGCTTCTCTCATATCCCCATATGAGGAGCTGGAGCTGATAAAGGGAGCTCATCTGCGCTGTCCCTGGATTCAGTTTCAGCCATTTAATTCGTGTTTTCATACAGTTTGTTTCATTCGGATGGCACGAAACTGTACACCTCCCTCTGGTACGAAAATATCAGTGAAACGAAGGGAAAGTGGGAACAGTAACCATTTGGTCACTTGATTTTTGGTGCTCAGCTGCAAGCCCTGGCAGGCACTGGCGCTTTGGGCCTGTACACCACACACACACACTCTTTCCAAGAGTAAGAGGCCCTTGCCACTTGGCTGCAGGTCCTGTCAGGCACAGCGGCCGACTCCAGGTCCTGGACGATGTAATACAATATATTACTAATAATAATATGATATTATAATTATATATTTTATATTATATGTAATATTACTAATAATATTACAGTACAATGGTATAGTACAATATAATAATATATAATACTGATATTGTGCTATGCTAATAATATAATATATTGTATGTATATATGTCTTGTAAACCGCTCTTGAGTCTCCTGGGTGAGAAGGGCGGCATATATGTGTTGTAAATAAATAAATATAATTCAGTTCAATGTGGATTGTATACAGCTGTGTACAAGGAACCTCTAACTCTCAGGATTCCACGGCATTGGGCCAATTCACTTCAAGCGGTGTCAAACTGAGTTAAGTCTACAGTGTAGATGCACCCATTGTGTGTGTGTTGGGGGGATGCAGCAATTGCATTACTTTGGATGGCATCACTTGATGTAAACAGTTTTATTTTCTTATTTCTCATTTAGGATACTTAAGGTAACAAGCTTTAAGCAAATGGGAATTATTTTGTGAGAGACGAGCAAATGCTTATTTATTTATTTACAGTATTTCTATCCCGTCTTTTTCAGCCCGAAGGCAACTCAAGGTGGCTTACAATTTGGCAGCAATTTGATGCCACACCAATAATAAATACCATTAAAAACATTTAAGATAACACAATCAAACTTCATATAAAAACCACTAAAGCCATAATCACCAGTGCCTTCCAGTTACAGCACGCTTTGACAGAGTGGCTATCGGTCGCGTAAAACTTAAGCATACAAAGAGGAGTATTAAGATTAACCAGGAATCTGTGATGTTTTCATTATATGTTATGAAAACATCTATATATTGAATTACGTTTCACTGTCTTAACACAGACTTCACCAACTGGTTGCCTTTCAAATGTGTTGGTTGATAACTCTAATCCCCTTTCTAGCAGATGCCAGTGTCAGACTAATATGAAGTGTAATTTGTGTTTTGAACGTTGTAATACAAAGTTCTTGGATGTTGCAGATCTGTACACCGCCTGCTTCTGTGGTTAACTACAACCTTATCTTTGAGAGTAGGGTTTTGCCTGTAGCAAGTATATCTTAAAAGATTACAGACAAATCTTCTTGAATTCAATGTTACATACTCAGATAAGTACTGGACAGCACTCCATGTCTTATTCCCATGACAAACCATTTATGGAACCTTTTTGCAACCTTAACTTTCACCCATAATAATTCCGTAACATACCAACTGTGCTGTGAATGCCATATCCTGCATTTAGTCACTCATGACTTTGCCTCATTTACACAGGTGAGTTTGAGCGATGACGTCTCAAGGACCAGCTGTTAGAAACCCTTGTGGACGCAAAAGGCAGAGTAATGCAGAGGTGACAGCAGGGGACAAAATAACCAAAGACTGCAAGAAGAAACCCCATGTGGTAATGCAACAACAGGTACTTGCACCATTTCCTTGAGAGAGTAGAAAGAACCATTTGGTTCCCCTTGTGCCTTTGACTCCTCTATACCACTGCTTCTTAAACTATGGGTCCCGGCCCATAATGGAGTCCCATTTGCTTAATATTGGGGTCCAAGAAAAAAATTGACAAAAATAAAAGTTTTCTTAATGTCACCTAGTGGCTGTCATAAGATTTTTACACGGATCTGATGTGTAGCATTTACAGTGCACTGTAGAAGATGCACCATATATACTCGAGCATAAGCCGAGTTTTTCAGCCCTTTTTTTAGGCTGAAAAAGCCCACCTCAGCTGATACTCAAGTCAAAGTTATTTATTATTTTTCTTCTTCTTCTTCTTCTTATTATTATTATTACATTTTACTCTTAATAGAATATTTATTTTACTCTATTATTGTTGTTGTTATTATTATTACATTTATTAGTTTACTTTATTGTTACCAGCCAATAGTGGATTTTTATGCCTATTAAATTTATTGTTTTACTCTATTATTATTACATTTATTATTTTCTCTATTTACTATTATTATTACATTGTTACTATTACATTTATTATTTTACTCTGTTACTACATTTATTGGTTTACGCTATTATTGTTATTACATGTATTATTTTACTTCATTGTTATTGTTACTTTTACATTTATTATTTTACTCTAGTTATTGTTGTTACTATTACATTTATTATGTTACTCTATTGTTATTGTTATTATTATATTTACATTATTTTACTCTTATTACTTTATTTATTTATTTATTTATTTCGAATATTTGTACCCCATCCTTCTCAACCACTGAAGGGGGACTCAGGGCAGCTTACAGCCAGCACGGTTCAATCCCGCACATACAAACAGCATAAAACACAACATTACATAATAGGTAAAAACATTCAGTTAAAAAGAAAAATCAATTTAAAACAATATTATTAACTAAAGAACCGTATCCAAATCTAATTTTATTTTTATTACATTTATTATTTTACTTTATTATTACTATTACATGTATTTTTTCACTCTATTATTGCTTATATTACATTTATTATTTTACTCTATTATTACTGTTATTATTACATTTCCATTATTTTATTCTATTATTATTATTTTACATTTATTATTTTACTCTCTTTATCGTTGGAAGGACAGGTAAGCACATTTACATTGAAGAAGGTTAGAATAATGGTTTAATCAGAGTTGGACAGTCTTATCTTAAATTACAGTTTTATGTAAATATTCAGAAACATTTAACCTTATTTTGAAATTTACTAGTAGCTGCTGCATTTCCCAACCTCAGCTTATACTCGAGAGAACTTGCCTTTGGATATTTGTGTTGTACTGTGTCCACACCACTGACTATCTAAAGCATATGCAAATTGGTTTGACAGTTGATAGAAAGAAAAAGAAAAGAAAAAGAGTAAAAATTTAGAAAGCTTAAAATACAAAAGAGTGACGTTGCTGTACTAGTGGTAGGTCACTCCCCTTCTGCTCCCCACAATCTGTTCTTAAGCTGCATCTGGACAACTGGTTTTCCACCCTTGTCTTGAAATATAAAAATATGAGGTTGATTCTTCTCAGGTGTGGAATTAAAACTGACCTGTTCACTGGTAGTGTGAAAAGACTAAGGAGGGAAAGAAGAGACAATCCAAAGAACCTGGCGTCCCTGAACATGTCCGCCAAGAAGTGGAAAGCTGCTATCAACTCAAGATGCCTGAAGATTTCTACGATTTTTGGACATTTTGTGAGAATCTGGATCGTGACAAACCATGTGGTAGGTTCTAAAAACTGAAATCTTCCATTTTACTCTAACTGTAATACATTTGCTAACATTTTTTCCCTAGTTGTTGGGAGTTTTGGTGAACAGTAGGTATATTTTTATTGTAGATGCACTTAAATCAAGCACTGGGCTCCAGTTAGTTGGACCATATGACATTCTTGCTGGAAAACACAAAAAGACTAATGCACCGAGAGATGTGAACTTCAATCTTCACTGGAGATTTTTTTATGATCCTCCTGAATTCCAGACAATCATTATTGGAGACAGCAAAGTACAGTATCATATGGGATATTTCAGGTAAAAATAAGTATGTGTTTGATGAAATATTTCCCTGTATTCTAGTGCTTTTCACAGTTGCATTCAATCAAGATAAGCAATTGTGGCATACCAGATGTTTTCAAAATGCAATTCCTTATCCTTCACTGATGAGAGTTCTCAGCCAAACATCTGAAATGCTATAATTATCCACTCCTTTAAAATGCATACATATTGCCACTGATTATTTCTCTCAAGCATGTTTTTCTAGAACAAGGTGCATGAATGAGGGTTGAATTGGAAAAAAAATGATTGGGCCTCCATATCCATGGATTCTGTATCCAGGGATTCAACAGTCCACGACTTGAAAATATTTTTAAAAGTTCAAAATGCAAACTTTGATGTTGCTGTAATGTACCGTATATGCTCAAGTATAAGCAGTATTTTTCGGCCCTTTTTTTAGGCTGTAACAGCCCTTCATGACTTATACTCGAGTCAAAGTTATTTATCAATTTATTCTACTCTATTTATTATTATTATTACATTTACATTACTTTACTCTATTTTTATTATTACATTTATTATTTTACTCTATTTTTATTATTACATTTATTATTTTACTCTATTATTATTACATTTACATTATTTTACCCTATTTTTATTATTTTATTACATTTATTATTTTGCACTATTTTTTATTATTGGAAGGATACGTAAGCACATTTGTATTGAAGAAGGTTAGAATAATGGTTTGGACAGAGTTGGACAGTCTTACCTTAAATTACAGTTTTATGTAAATATTCAAAAACATTTAACCTGATGCTTCAGTTGATGTAATTTTATTGGACTCTATTGTTATTTTGAAATTTACCAATAGCTGCTGCATTTCCCACCCTTGGCTTACATTCGAATCAGTATGGTTTCCCAGTATTTGATGGCAAAATTAGGTACCTCGGCTTATATTTGGGTTGACTTATACTCAAGTATATATGGTAATTTTGAAGCTTAATTTTTCCCTTTTCCATAAGCCAAATTTAACCATTTCAATTCAGGACTAAGGAAGTCAAAGCAGTGAAGATTTAGCACTCTAACAAGCATGCCAAATAGTTTAATCTGCAGTTGGCAACTGGAATTTTGGACACTTTAGAATTTAGTATGTTTTATAAAGTATTTGCAAGAAGCAAATGTTTTTAATAACCAAATTTGAAGGAGTAGAATTTCACAGAACAATGAACACACATTATCACATTTGCTGGGGACAGGAGCGTTTTTTCACTCTTCACTGCAATGCTTAGAATACACATGAGTCCATGGAAACTTTCTGCCTGCATATTTTATAGGGATGTGCCAGATGAACTGCCAGTGTGGGTTGGTGGGAATGAAGCCAAGAAAGGTCCAGTGATTTCTCAACTTGGTGACAATGTGTTTGCTGCTGTAAAGTAAGTTTTTAATATTTTTGTGCTGCATTTGAAAAAAATGTCAGTGGTGGGAGAGCAATCTCTTGAGTACACATGTTTTATTAAAGCTGCCTGTGTGTGTGCACACTTAGGTTTTCCCCTGCTAGAAATTGCACTGCTGGATGCTTTTCTCCATCAGTGGGAAAAGGTACTGTGCTGTCATACTCAAACTACTTTAAACGTCTTTAGCGTTAACGTGTCCTGACTTTCTATCAGCTTGGGGGATACTGGATTGCCTTCCTGTTTGAGCAAGGAACCCCACATATTCAATGTCCACGCTATTGCTTTCAAGAAACAATAACAATTTATTAATTGGTCTTGGTCCTATCTCCACCCAGGCACTATCCTGATTTCCCCACAACCAAGTTTATACTTAAAGTTTGAAGGTAACTGGGTGTTCTTGAAGTTTGTTGATCGTGAATGATTCCAAAGACAAAGGACAGATGAAAGTTTCCCTTGCTCACTTTCTCTGGTAGAAGGGTCTCTGGGGCGCCCAATGCCCAAGGTCAGGGGTCCTCAAACTAAGGCCCAGGAGCCGGATGCAGCCCTCCAAGGTCATTTACCCAGCCCTCGTTCAGGGTCAACCTAAGTATGAAACTACTTTAAAGCACATAACAACAACAATCCTATCTCATCAGTCAAAAGCAGGCCCACATTTCCCATTGAAATACTAATAAGTTTATATTGGTTAACATTGTTCCTCCTTTTAATTGTATTGTTTTTAAGTGTGTTTTTTTACACTACAAATAAGATATGTGCAATGTGCATAGGAATTCATGTTTTGTTTTTTTTCAAATTATAATCCGGCCCTCCCAACAGTTTGAGGGACTGTGACCTGGCCCTCTGTTTAAAAAGTTTGTGGACCCTTGCCCAAGATGACCAGGCCGGAGGTAGAGAGAGCAAGTCACTCCTATAGAGGCCTGGCACCTCTCTGAAGGCACTGGAAACTCTACAGACCATCACTGACCAGAGGTAGGCCAGTTTGGCCAGATGAGTTCCCAGATGAATTAGTTAGCTATTGGCTTGAAATGGCTTGTCCAAGCCTGGATCTCGCTGGGACCAACTACAGACATGTCTTATTTCCAAGATTCCCTGGTGATAACAACCTTAAACTAAAGATGGCTCTCTTTCCCGAGTCAAAAGGGCAGGCAAATTTATTGATCCAAACCAGAAAGGGTTTTCTTAAGCTCCACCCATAAAACTAACAGAAAAGTGACTATTCTCAAACTGTGAGTGAGGCAGCCTAACAAAAGGAGCTGGGACTTATACAGTTCCATCACAGTACAGGAACCCTGTATTGTCTCTTGTGGATAAGCCTTGGATCTCACTTTGAAAGGAAGATGGGATATGCATTCAGTAAATAAATAAAATACATAAAATGGAGGTATTTCCCCTCCTATATTTCTGAACTGGTTCAGAAGTTTGGTTGCTCTTTTTAATGCTATTTAGGTTTTTTCACGGAAGTCACTGGTGAAAGAAGTCTTGGTTTTGCAGTCGAAGTGCATTGGGACCTCTGCCTTTGAGGGTCTGACTTTTGTGGATTTGATTATTCACAGATTTGAATGGATGTGCTGAAGGAGGACCTAAAGATTCCTAAAGAGGGTAATTTTCTAGGTATTTGTAGGTCCACCAGTGTAATTTTATGGTCTACTTCCAGCATTTTAATTTGAGTCATTCTCTCATCTTAAAATGGAAAGGGAGAGGGGTTCAATCCATAGCTTTCCCTGTGCCCGTACACCCTGCAAAAGTGGGTGCAATGTGGCCAAAATCAGTATTTGTGTGGCTTCGCTTTTGCGAAGTTTTCCTTGAGAATTCGATTGTGGAAAAAGTTATCTGAAGTTAACAGTGTGTACTGTGTTAAACTAATATCAAAATTTTATTTGAATAATATTTATTTGAAAATCAGGATTAGCATTCAGTTTTTGTATTTTGCAGTGTCCTGATGTTGTTTTTAGTTAAATGATATTTGATTCTTTTAAAGACCTAGAACTCCCTTTTGATTTGCTTAATAGTGCTAGAGGAAAGTGGGTGATAAAATAATGAATTTTCTTCTGTTTCAGATTATTTTTGTCGAAAAAACTTCAGGAGCTGACGGATAAAAAGAAAAGGGGTATTTTGAAGGATTTGGAAGAAAAACTAACTGAAAGAGCCAAAGAATTGGGCTATTTGCTGGAGCTAAAAACCATGAAGATGAAACAGAGAGATAAGAAAGTATGACTTTATTTTCCACATCTCATATAATAGAAAAGAACTCTAATAATTTAGTTACTTTTTCCTCCTTGGTGCTAGATTGCACTAAGAAATATTGTTGCTCTTTGTGCCCTTATTCGAATTGTAGAACCCTATTTAGTCCTTGACATTTTCAGGAGTTGAGAGCAATGAAACCACTGAGTTGACATCTTGAGTACAAATAGGAGAAGACTTACTGTGAACATGGCCAAGATTCCTCACTTTTCTACCACCACTTCATTCACATAGTACAGGCAGTCCCTGTGTTACAAACATCCGACTTTCAAATGACTCCTAGTTAAGAAAAGGGTTGAGACAACAGAAAGTGAGAGAAATTTATCCCTAGGAAGAGAAATTGAATCCTGAGAGACTTATCATGGGGAAAAAGTGTCTTCACTGAAGCTTTATCACCAATCCTTGTTTCCACAACAAGCCAGATTTTTCAAAATCCAATCATCACAGGGACAGAATGTGAAATCCTCTGAACAGGGGCACAGGCAGCAAAATAAATGGCACAGGGGTGTTAGCCCTTCCGTGTTACCCAAATCTAAAAAGAAATGGCTAGAATTGCACTTGAAATGTATCAGTTCTGACTTCCATACAAATTCAACTTACAGAACATAACTCATTTGTAACTTGGTGACTGCCTGTAATAATTTAACTTTGTTTTGACTTGCCAAATGATAACGAGTACCTCTTTTTTATCTTAACACAGATTGTAACAAAGTCATTCCATGGAGCTGGTCTGGTTGTACCCGTGGATAAGAATGATGTGGGATATAGAGAACTTCCTGAAACTAATGGTACAATGAATCTCATGTTTCTCATCTCACAAAAGACATTAGATAACAAAAGTAGATCGTCTCCTTTTGGTATTAATGTGCATTAGCTGTTAAAATATTTTAAGTAATGTGGTAAAAGCTGCATTTTAGTAAAAGTGGTAAAAGCTGTATAACAAAATCCATTAAGCAGCTGATTATACTGTTGAATTTTTTTTCAAACAGAATATCTTATTAGGTAGCTATTGGGTTAAAAGCAGTAGACACATGATACATTTTTAAAGACTTGGGATGAAATCGTGCATTAGATGCTCTAACTTTGTGATGTCAGAGCTTTTTTTTTTTTTTTTTGGTCGTGTCAGGAGCAACCGCTCCTGTTGTGAGAGAATTGGCCGTCTACAAGGATGTTGCCCAGGGGACGCCCGGATGATTTCTGATGTTTTGTCATCCTTGTGGGAGGCTTCTCTCTTGTCCCCACATGAGGAGCTGGAGCCGATAGAGGGAGCTCATCCGCCTCTCCCGGGATTCGAACCTGCGACCTGTCGGTCTTCAGTCCTGCCAGCACAGGGCTTTAACCCACTGCGCCACCGGGGGCTCCATGTCAGAGATATGTTGACAACATAATACGTAGTCGTAGTGGAGAATTGTGATGAGGCACATTGGGCATTGCATGAGATATCCTGTTGCACAGAAGGGGCGTCAGTTGCATTACAGGACACAGTATGTATTGGGACTGCGGTGCAATGGCAATGCTGTCTCCACAGCAGTCGTGATGGAACACCTATGGGCCCTTAAACCCAGCCCTGTATCTCAGAATATCAAGGCAGAAAATCCCACATTATCTGATAAACCAGTTCAAAGCAGATATTGTGGGATTTTCTGTCTTGATATTCAGGAATATAGGGCTGCATTGAAGGGCCCCGAGTCTCTCCTGAAAATACAATACTGCAATTCTACAGTTACTCATTCATAAATCTGAGTGTAATAAATACACTATTGTTATTTCCTAGCAGTATGCCACCTAAGGTATTATTACAACATGATTCCACATCAAAGATGCAACAAAACATTATATTGTTGCAAAAAAACATGCTTTTCTGCATTTTATTGGCTTGGGTCCAGTCTGGAATTGAAACACATTTATTTCAGTGGTACCTAAGGCAGTAATCATGTACACATATATGTTGACGTATATAAGCCCCATTGAACTTAGTAAAACTTCTCATTAGACATTAGATTGCACCCTAAGCAACTTACTCTGGATTCCAACTACTGTCTTTTGGAGGAAAAAAACAGTAAGAAAAACCTATTGTAATGTTTTCTTGGCAAGAAGTCTTCAGCGGAGACCTGTCATTGCCTTCCTCTAATGAGGAAGCAGTGTGAATTTTCCAAGATTCTTTTTACTGAGGGATTTTGGGAAAACTTTTGTCAGTATTCTAGTTGGAAATGTTTTCAAGCAGTTGTGATTTGATCCAACAAAAATGTCTGATGGGAACCTAATGATTGTCCATTAGTAAAATAAATGTGCATGAAGAATTTACTAATGGGCATACATAAATTCCAATGGAAGGTGCAGCGTGTTAAACTGCTGAACTTGCTGACCAAAAGATCGGTGGTTCAGATCTGGGGAGCAGGGGGAGCTTCCACTGTTAGCCCCAGCTTCTGCCAACCTAGCAGTTCAAAGAAGGTACCGCTTCTGTGGAAAGGTAACAGCGCGCCATGCAGTCATGTGGGCCACATGACCTTGGAGGTGTCTACGGACAATGCCGGCTCTTAGGTTTAGAAATTGAGATGAGCACCACCCCCCTCAGAGTCAGGACACAACTAGACTTAATGTCAAGGGGAAACCTTTACCTTAATCTCTTGCTTGAGAGAATGCAGAGCCACCTAGTTGGCATTCAGCAGCCTCATGTGTTTTGCCCCATTTTAATGAAAATTGCTGCCATATGCAGAAGTGTCATTTTCTAATCGTGTTTTTACTAACTCATTTTTCTCCGTAGCTAGTCTCAAAAGAATCTGTAAAGCCATTGTTGATGCTCCTAATGATGACGAGAGACGGAAATCTTTTGCCCCTATTCAAGAAATGCTAACGTTTGTTCAGTTTGCCAACGATGAATGTGACTATGGTATGGGATATGAGCTGGGCGTAGACCTCTTCTGCTATGGGTCACATGTAAGTTAAATTATTTTATATTTATAAACAGGAAATGGTAATACGTGTAAACCATTCTTTGCACATTCATATTTTCTGCTTTAAAGTTCTGTTATTAAGCCATAAGTCTAATCCTTTTCTAATTGAAGTAATGTTCATATATGCAAGTAACAATGAAGATGAAATGAAAAACAGAAAGAAGCCTTTATTGATATAAATCAATCTTTTTAGAATCTGTAATAAGTTGTTTAATTTTTTTTCAGTATTTTCATAAGATCATTGGCCAGTTGCTGCCTCTTGCTTACAACTTGCTGAAGAGAAATCTGTTTGCAGAGATCATTGAAGCTCATTTAGCTAACAGAAAAGAAGATAATGTTGACCAACTGACAGCATGATATGCAATATCTCAATATAGTGAAATACCAAGTATGTTTGTTTTGGTACTAAATTGATGTAGTTTTGTGATAAATAAACATTTTTCTTAAAAAGCAAGAGTTACTTACTGGGGACAGGAGATCCAAGATACATTACTATTTTAAGTTTTAATTAATTTTTCTTTACCTAAGTCTTTGATTGAATGTTAAGGTTTTTATAGTATATCCCACAGAACCTATTGATGCATCAGCAAGGTGGTTTTACAATGGGAGGTAAATAGTTTTAAATCATTCCATTGCTGATATCCCAGAAGTGTAGGAGGTATTGATTCCAGACTGGTGGTGGTGGGATGGGGGAATTGCAGCACATTTAGCGAGCATCCACATTTTATTAGATCCTCTGCAGTATAGGGGGTTGCTTGTCAAATCTTATGAAAAGATGTTGAATCCAGTAAGTTTAAACTGAGTGCCGTGAGACACTATTTCTTTTTTGTATTCATTGGTACCCCTTTCCTGTACAGAAGCAGATACTGTCATGTGTTTTAAATTATAATTAAGACCTATTTCACTTACTATTACAACTAGTTGACTTTCACTTCTCATGTATGCCCTTCTGGATGCTAAACTATCATTACAAACGTCACATTTCATATTTGAAAATAACGGTTATCTTTCCAGAATTAGTCTGGGAATGTTAGCAAATGAATATGGAGCCCCTGGTGGCACAGCGGGTTAAACTGCTGAGCTTGCTGACTGAAGGTTAGTGATTTGAATCCAAGGAGTGGGTGAGCTTCTGCTGTTAACCCCAACTTCTGCCAACCTAGCAGTTCGAAAACATGCAGATGTGAGATCAGTAGGGAAGGTAACGGCACTCCATGCAGTCATACCAGCCACATGACCCTGGATGCGTCTACGGACAATGACGGCTCTTTGGCTTAGAAATGGAGATGAGCACCCCCTCCCCCCAGAGTTGGACATGCCTAGACTCAACGGGAAACCTTTACCTTTAGCAAATGAAGATTCTGCAGCTTTCCTATTTTTATACATTTTGGATGTCCTGCAAAATGTTTTTTTTTTTTTTTGTGAATGGGTTGCTGTGAGTTTTCTGGACTGTATGGCCATGTTTGAGAAGCATTCTCTCCTGACATTTTGCCTACAAAGGTCTGTTGGAAACTAGACAAGTGGGGTTTATATATCTGTGGGATGTCCAGGGTGGGAGAAAGGAACTCTTGTCTGCTGGAGGCAAGTGTGAATGTTGCAATTGGCCATACAGTCCAGAAAACTCACAGCAACTCACCCAGTGGGCTTCCAGAGTTTAGAGAAAATTGTAAGCTGGTCTCCATAGTCCAGTGCTCAAACCACTACACTACACGGTCTCTCTGATCTAATCTTATGTGCCTATTATATTTAGTTTTCATATCCTGATTACAATCAGCCATATATTTGTACTGAGTAATTTAGCTCTCAGGACTTGACATTAAGGGGCCGGGCCATGACAAGCAAAGTGGCATAAAAACGCTGTAATTATGTAGTGTGAATTAATACCAGCTGCCATGTTTCCACTTTGTTCATTCACTGAGCAAATGCAAGAAACGCAGAAAGTTGTTCTGTAACAATTCATCAGTTCTGTCTTTTTTCCAACACACATTAAACTTACAGAGTGCATGACTGCATACATCAATGAAAACCAAACCCAGCTGGTCATACAGAATGTTTAATGTTTCCTAATGAAATCATCACAGTAATTGGATTTTATTTTACTGTAATGATATGCAAATCTACCACACTAGTATAAATAAAAAAACATTGAGATCAATGTTTAATACAGTTCTAGGAAATATCACAGATTAACAAACTATGCATTCTTCATGAACCACCAACTAAATTGTTACGAACAGAAAAGATGCTAACATCCCTCCCCCCAAACACCACATCCTGTCCCAGCTTGAATAAGGCGCTGCAAATTTTTACATTATTAGTAGTAGTTTTTGTTGCACAGCACAGGCACGCTTATTTCAGTTTCAGAATCTCGTGACGCATCTTGATGTGCCTGTAAGGGAAACTTATCAGGTCAAGAAGAGCAAACAAAGTTTATTAGATCAGCACAATATAGATATGAAATACTAAATGTGAAGATCTAACATTTATATAAGACACATCAAGGGCATGAACTGCTATCCTTTCATGCTACAAAGGGCAGTCTGAGGGTACTGCATTGATAATAATACACAGAGTGAGTGTCTTAAGAGTAAAGTGGCTGGAGAGGAGTTTCAAAGCCTTAGGAATTAGAAAGTGGGGCTTGGGGAAAGAATTTTTGGTTTAAGATACACATGATTGGAGCCAAAGTCAGATGAATCACACACAGCCCCGGCCCATGGCCAATTATTTTTTTTAATTTCAAGTTGGAAGGATGAAAACATCACAAGCGATCTCTTGAATGGTTTACACAAAGGCCAAATTATCTTGACTAGCCAAAGGCTCCAACTGAACAGTTATTCCAGTTTTATACCCCAGCAGCAAAAAAAAAAAAAAAAAAAAGCATATGGGTGGGTTCTTCCATTATGAGCATTTAATAGGTATTTTAAAACAGTGATTTGGAGCAAAAGGTTGCTTTTTCCTCTAAGCGAAGATGCAATTTTCCATCAAAGGAAAGGAAACCGAATCCAACCGGAGCCAAACTCATTGAATTTCTCAACAAACTGTTGAGTTCAAGGCAAAAAAGAAAAGTGGAGCCACACTGAACACAATTAGGAAGTAATGAAAATCATCCCCAAATCTATTGAAGTATTTGATATAGAATGAACAGTGTTACAAACCAGTATTTCAGCCAGTTAGTAAAGCACTTGTTTTCAGTTCTTAAAAGCATGCTGACTTCCCATTAACTCACTTGGGTATTTGGATATCAAAAACTTAAAAGCATATTAACTTGCTGTGGCAAGATGTGGAATGTAAATGTTTATTTACTTGTATGATGTTATTATAGCATTGTTGCCGATGTGTGAGGCTTCTCTGAGTCCCTTTCAGGGTTGATGGGACAGGGTACAAATGTGGTAAATAAAAATAAACAGCTGGGAGATGAGCATAAATGCATGCAGGTTGGGCTTCTGGTTCTTTTTGCCTCTTTGACAGCAGCTTCCTTTGCTGCCTGGACAAGTTTAGCGATTCCAGAGTATTAAACAGGTCTTATTAAATGAGGTAGGGTGCCACTGAGTAGGTATAAAGAGTCAGAAGCCACACTGTGCATGTCGAGGTTTCCGTGCAGCCTTCAGTCCTTCCAAAGGTATGCAACAAAATGTCCAAACAGCCCATTGTGTTAAACGAGGTAAGCTTTGGGATGCCTGACTTCCAAACATTTGCACTTCTTTTTCCTTTTCTTTTAATCAATACTGTAATCATCTTTAGTCTTCAAGTCTGATTCAAAGAAATTTATAATTGGGACCAAAAACGTAACATTATGTTCTAGTAAGTTGTCAAGTAATTCCTGTTTGTGTATACTGTAAATGAGACGTAAATCCTACATATCTTTTCAAGTAAGAAGAGATTAGAATTACGACTGAGTCATCTCTTCGGCTGCTACACTTCAACATTCCTATTTTTTGAAAAGAAATCTGTATGTCTGCAATTTAAATATTGATATTCTTTACACTTTGCATTGTTTACAAATGCTGAATTTCTTAGCATTCTAGTAATTTGATTAAAAACAAGCAGTAGTGATGGCAATCAAGTATCAATTGGGTTAGAAAGAAATACAAAAATCTTTTTCGACTGCTAAGCTCTTGTCTGGCACACCCTTTGCTAATAAAGGAGTCTTCGTGTATAAAAATCATGTTATAAATGTAAAATTAACTGTTTGACTAAACTGTATTTAGTATATTTTTAATCCATAAAAATATAAATAAAATCATGGTAAAATATCTATGTATATCTAGTGCAACTTATGATTATAATTTTTTCAATCTTTTTGTAGAAATGGGAAACATAGCGTGCTGGATCTTAATTTAGGGGGGAAATCTCCAGTGTTTTGAGCATGCAGTTGTTACCACATACACATTGATATAGAACTCTTCCTGGTCTTAGTAGAATAGCAGTATCTTCCTTGTACTGCACAACATTAGTACATAAACCTTAGTGTTTTTAATAATACAAAAAATTGCATAAGCCCAGGTCACATTATTATCTTGCAAGAGAAACATTCTTTCTTGAGACAGGTTTGGGCTGTTTTATATTGCAGCTCACAAAGTGCCGGGTTTCTAACATGCTTTTCACATGTTATTTTACCAGCACCGTTGTGGTTTTTGCTGCAGAGAGTCCAAACTGCCACAAGAATTTCATGATAAATAAGCTCTAGGTTTAAATGGCACAAGAAACAATTCCTTCTTGTGAGATAAAACTCAGTAGGTCACAGTACATCTCAATATGAGAAACTACCATTTCGAAAGGACACGCCGATTGCGAAGAGGCTGTTACAGCTCAGGAGAAAGAAAGAGGAAATTAAAAAAAGAAAAAGAAACGCTCTGGAATGTAAAAGAGGCGATGTGGAATATAACTATGGATTTCACAAGTTGACACAACAACCGTCTATGGTATAAAGAAGAAATTATTCCAGTTTCCAAAAGATGGCTCAATTCAAAACAATCCCTCCAGAAACGGGGACTAACCAACGGTGAAACAGCAGGATAAAGACTGGATACTTGTGTCCTCTGACATAAGTTCCCATTGCACCATCATGGCAGATCTAGCAACCCAGAATGCATCCAGTGCGGGACTGCAGAACTCTTCTCTTTCTCCTCTTTGTTATTGTGAGGAATGTCCTTTCTCCATCTTTCCACTTTTTCTTAAACCAATTCCTTAATTCCAGTTGCGTGTTCACCTTAAGACCAGCTTTCCTTCTGCATTGCCAAGCAATGCCTCATGCTAAAGTGTTGTGCTATTCAACAAATGAACCTCCTCTTCACTCTCCTCTCTTTCCTCAGTTACTGGGTTCAGTTGAACATTATTGACGCGGGGTCTTGGTTTGCCGTCTGGGCCATATGACGGAGGATATCTTTTTTTGTTATAATGCCAAGGAGGCGTCTGAAAAGAGACACACAGAAAAGAGAGGATTAAATCAGCAAAGAAGTAGAAGAAGTCAATTAAACTAATCTGCAGTCAAATCGTTTCTGACGACAGGAGCAGAACACAGTAAAGCCTAATTTTCTTATTGCAGGAAAGCCATTTTAGTGTCATCAAAGTAACCATCATTTTTTAAAAAATGACAGCAGTATATTCCTAGGTTCATGGTAATCCAAGTAAAGAGAAGTCAAGCCTCAACCCACTTATTTTTTGTTGCTCTTGATTATCATATCCCAACAAAAAAAAGAGTAACAAAGCAAGGGGGTGCGAATAAGAGGAACTGATACCATTACCAAAGGAAAGTATGGTTGAATCGAGCCAAACTCAAAATTGTTTTATGAGTTCAATTTTGAGGTGCTGTTCAGCATAACCTATTGGTTTGGGTATCTTCATAAGAGCACATGCAAATAGGTTTAGAGGACAGATGATCAGGAGTGGAGATGTTTTAAGTTGATTGAAAATAATGAAACCATATATTTAGACTTCTCCCCCAGATTTATAAACAGTGCTCTTATGATCAAGATCTCACTATAGTACACCAAGGAGTGAAGCTGTCCTAAAAGGTATTATCACAGGAGAAGCAGAAAGAAAGAGCTTCTGGTTCGTTATTTTGGTTAGTAGTTTTCATTGTAACTTTATCTTAAAGAGGATGCATGAAACACTTGTGAAATATTAGTATGTAATAAGTATGTAAGTTCAATTAGTATGTAAGCAGTTAAAGTGGGAAGGCAGGTTTGGATAGCAACTATGACTCTAAAGCAGAGACAAGAATTTGACAGGGCATTTAGCAAAAGGATGGACAAAGGACACTAGTATCAAAGATTGCCATATTACTGGCTTGCTGTGAGTTTTCCAGACTGTATGGCCATGTTCCAGGAGCATTCTCTCCTGATGTTTCACCCACATCTATAGCTGGTATCCTCAGAGGTAGTGAGGTCTGTTGAAAACTAGGCAAGTGAGGTTTCTATATCTGTGGAAGGTCCAGGGTGGGAGAAATAACTCTTGTCTGCTTGAGGAAAGTGTGAATGTTGCACTTGCCAGCAATTATCTGGTTGCTGCCTGGGGGAATCCTTTGTTAGGAGGTGTTAGTTGGCCCTGATTTTTGTCTGGAATTACCCTGCTTTTGGGGTGTTGCTCTTTATTTACTGTCCTGATTTTAGAGGGTTTTTTTCATACGGGTAGCCAGATTTTGTTGATTTTCATGGTTTCCTCCTTTCTGTTGAAATTGTCCACATGCTTGTGGATTTCAGTGGCTTCTCTATGTAGTCTGACATGGTAGTTGTTAGAATGGTCCAGCATTTCTATGTTCTCAAATAATATGCTGTGCCCAGGTTGGTTCATCAAGATGACCATCTGCAACATTCACACTTGCCTCAAGCAGACAAGAGTTCTTTCTCCCATCCTGGACATTCCACAGATATATAAACCTCACTTGCCTAGTTTCCAACAGACCTCTCAACCTCTGAGGATGCCTGTCATAGATGTGGGTGAAATGTCAGGAGAGAATGCTTCTGGAACATAGCTGTACAGCCTGGAAAGCTTACAGCAATCCAGTTGTTCTGGCCATGAAAGCCTTTGACAACATTACAATATTATTTAGGCAGTAAAGGTATTTCCAGCAATCACTTGAGACAAGTGACTATACCACTGGATTCAGCGCAATAAATATGTCTTGATTCAGAAGTTAAAATTAAAATGAGGTTTTCAGGTTGAATAGTAACTAATGTTTAAAATGTCAACCCCATACACACAGCACTTTTTAGCACATATGTATTTTATAGTGTCACAAAACTTATGACAAAAAATGGATATACCCTGATACCTCTGGGAACAGCAAAAATTCTGTCTTTAAAATCTCTTCCCGATTTCCTTTCATAACATTCTCTTTTAATTTACAGCTTGTTTTCACTTAGTGTGTTTTCCACAAAGACATTTCATTTCAAATTTACACTATGTTCTAATATAACCTCATTTATGTCGTTTTGTTGTTGTTCAGATGTTGTAAGAACCCTGAACAATTCACAAGTTTCATGCTTCCTGGTGTCTAAATTCTCTAATGAGGAGATCTGATATATCTAATCACCAAGGGTTCGACGTGCTGCTTTAGTTGCTCGAGATGCTCTAATATATTCTTCTTTGTGATGATCCCCAAGACAATCCTGAAACAGATCATGTTATGCTAATAACTGGGTGTGAAATCAAACAAAACAAAAAAAAACTCCAATCATAATGAGGAAGTTTAGCATGGAAAAGTAAAATGAACACAGACGGAAAAAATGCAAATAATGAAAAGGTCCACTGAAGGTGATTTGAGAGTCAGCACCTCTTTCTTAAGAAAATAAAATGTACTGTGATGGTTTAAAAAGCGTATTACATCTAGGACAGAAACTAAGCAACTGAACACTTTTCTATGTTCCTTTTGGCTATAAATATAAGATAAAATAACAGGAAATTTTTGGCCATACAAATGTGAATTTTAGTTTTTTACAAATACAAGGGGTTCATCTTTGGTCTCTCTTTTTCTCACTTTCAATCATACTTCCGAAAGCACATTTCATGTATATAAATACTGCTCCCCACCTCCAGCCAGTCTTGATTCTGTCTCTGAAAATTCTGATTCTGTCTCTGAATCAAATTCATATACACTTAGTTTTGTTTTTGTTAATGTCAAGAGCGACTTGAGAAACTGCAAGTCGCTTCTGGTGTGAGAGAATAGGAAGTCTGCAAGAACGTTGCCCAAGGAACACCTGGATGTTTTACCAAACTGTGGGAGGTTTCTCTCATGTCCCTGCATGAGAAGATGGAGCTGACAGATAGGAGCTCACCCCACTCCGCAGATTTGAACCGCAGACCTTTTGGTCAGCAGTCCTGTGGCACAGGGGTATATTTATAAAAATAAGAATTGGAAAAGGGAAGTCAGAAAGAATTGGGAGCGGGTTGTACATGTCTTATAGAAACAGATTCAGGGAAAAGGAAACTGCGGGTGACGAGTATATTTCTGTAATGTATTCAAGCCCACATACTGACCCCTGCTTAGTTTTTTCTTGATGTTTCAAAAGACCTGTGGCTACATAATTAGTATATCTTCAATCTTTTCACATAACCTATAAGAGATTAAAACTCTGAGAGAAATGTAAGCTAAGCTGTGGCAGGATACCACATGCTGAATCAGATACTGCTTATGTAAAATAATTTGATGGAACACTAAATTTATATAGTCCCAATAAAATGCAAAAAACTATTTGCTCCATATTGTTTAAAGCAGTGGCTCCAAACTTTTTTTTTTTTTTACCACTTTAACCAGGGACCACTATCCAACATTGGTACCAAAAGGGTTACGAATCAGTTTTTGGTCAACTTTAGATTTGGTTTGGTTATTTGGGATGCTGATTCAGAAAATTGCATTGGATAGACCACATCAGCTCTAGTTTCTTATACAGACCATATGCCACCCAGTTGTTGCCACCTCTTTGCCCACAGAAAACCATATTTAATAATCCAGAACCGTGGTTCTCAACCTGGGCTCTCCAGATGTTTTTGGCCTACAACTCCCAGAAATCTCAGCCAGTTTACCAGCTGATCTAGAGCTGATGTGGTAGTAGTAATCTTTCATGGGTAGTCTGCCTCTACTCTCTCGACATCCCCATTGCCTCGGCACTGTAAGTGGGTTTAGCAAGACCAGTTGCTCTCGTTGCCACGTGGTTTTGAGGCAACACTGTAGTAATAGTGAGGCCGCGGACCATATTTTTGTTCTTGTGGACCACTGGTGGTCCATGGACCACAGATTGGGAACCACTGGTTTAAAGGAAAGTATCAACACCAAAACTCAGAACTAAGAAACCTCTAACCCCCAAACTATAGACATAACCTTGTCCTCTTGAGATATCCAGAAATTATTAAGAATATCTTACTGTCCCAGAAATTATCATCTCTTTGCTATAAAGGTATATCCAGAGATGATGGTCTAGTCGCATCATTAGTACTATTCAGGGGAGACATGGGTAACAAGTAATATTTACTTTAATAGGCCTGTCCCAAATTGGACTTAACTTGGAATGTAGCCCAAAACTTGGATTTTCCTTAAAAACTAAAGAAATGCATATCATTCTTCTAAATAATTTTGTTTATGTATGAGTCAACCCATAAAACTCACAAGTGCAATAGAAGCTGGCTGTTATTAAGGTGATCTAATGCAAAGGAACAATAAGCTTAAGCAAGAAAACAAACATGGAAATCACAGAGCAGCTGATTAACAAAGAAAGCATTTTCTTCTACTTTTTTAAAAGAATGCATTAAGGAATTAAATACTGGAATACCTTTATAATGTATCTATGCTTTTATGACATACAAGATACTTCATATTACATGTATCTTACTCTATTATAGCTTCTTTATCATACAACAGCGTATTATTCCTGACTACAGTTGACTCACTCTGTTACTGGATGCTACGTTAATAGCAAATGAAATAGTAAAGTAACTGAGTAAACTGTAATACGGAGTAACAACTACACTGAACCCAATATACTTTAACTGATAAATAACAAAACTGATGTCTGGTAAGAAAACGTTAGACATTTAGAATCATACAACATACTTCATACCATCCTTGGTATATTTAGAAGCTATTTTAAAGTTAGAAAAGAAATACTGAAGTTTGACTTTAACTTTCAATTTTGATTAGATTATTTTATATTATATCAGATAATATAATGTAAAATACAACAATGCCATGCATAACCATGTTGCCATTTTTATCTGAATTGAAAGCTACTTTTCTCTTACACTCTGCATGAAGCACTATTTTTGAAAAAAAATTACTGCAGGATGATATAAGGATGCCAAGTCTTTAAAATCTAATGCAAAATCTCAGTCTCAAAATATAAATTGTTTACAAGGAAAAATGGTTCTCTTTATTATTATTTGTGCTATGTGCATGCACATATTTCAAATGGAAAATTTTCCAGGTTCTTTTCATTTCCAAATAGCACTCAGAAAATCTGTTTGAAACCCTAGAAATCCAGTGCCAGCTAGTGTAAACAACACTGAGTGAGTTGCACCAGTGGTCTGATCCAATGCAGAAGTTTCCTTGCATGCATCATATGAGGTAAAGGTTTCCCCCTGACATTAAGTCTAGTTGTGTCCAACTCTGGGGGGTGGTGCTCATCATTTCTGGTGTTGTCCGTAGGTTATGCGGCAGGCATGACTGCATGGAGCACCGTTACCTTCCAATCAAAGTGGTACGTATTGACCAATTCATATTTGCATATTTTCAAATTTCCAGGTTGGCAGAAGCTGGGCTTAACAGTGGGAGCTCACCCCGCTCCTCGGATTCGAACCGCTGACCTCTCGGTCAACCAGTTCAGCAGTTAGCGGTTTAACCCGCTGCGCCACCGGGGGCTCCCATATGAGAGGTAGGAACCCACAAACCTCCCATTCTATGGGCAAGGAGGCTTCTCTTTTGGATTGTTCCCAATTCACAGATTCTGAACTGCAAAGTTCTTTCAATGGAAGTCTGCTCTCATGAATATGTTATTTCTATAAAATGTTCACAGTGTGAGCCACAAAGCAACATCTCAAACCAGCTCTAGAACATAATAATTCCTCAGATCAAGTTGAGGATGCTCATATATTTCAGCAGTATAATACGATTGGAAGGAAGTTAGACTAGATACTATAGATATGAAAGGGAAAATTCTCATGTGGTTTCCACTTTGAGGAGAAGTTCCGCATGTCTTGTAAAATTTTCTCACTCACTCGTTAATGCCTACATAATGGTATGTAAATAACTGAAGAATCAACAGGAATAAAACTTCAAAACCTGCACATGCCTTTTTATCTAACCTAAATGCACAAAGAGTCTTCAACTGTGGTTCTCAACCTGTGGGTCCTCAGATGTTTTAGCCTTCAACTCCCAGAAATCCTAACAGCTGGTAAACTGTCTGGGATTTCTGTATTTAACACAAGCTACAGTCCAAGAACATCTGGAGACATGTACTTTCTCCACTCCAACTCCATAGGTATTTTATACACAGAAACTCCAAGGAGAGGGCACTATACATCAATACAGAGATACTGAGAACTTGTGCAGTTCATGTGTATGCCTATCTTCAGTGAAAAGTTTAATCCATTCTATTGGATGTCTGTAGATATTTGAGTAATATGAAGAAATGTTGACAACTCCTAACATAGCTAACATTTTCTTCATTATGGAGAAAACCAACAAGAGGAGACTATCTTTTCATCATCACAAATTTAGTTGAGTGAGGTCTAGCTACGGGGTATGCAGTCCAAAACGGGAAATACATAAAATTGAGCATGGGGAGAAGTGTAAAAACAAGAGGATTTCTTGTAAATACTCTGCTGTGTTGTGTAAGTGGGCTCATGATTAACACTTTTAACAAGCTTTAGGATACTTGATGTTTGAAAACAAACCAAACAAACACTCTCCAATCTTTTGAGAATGAAACTACCGGACTCACCCATTGTGTGTTACGAGACACTGCCTGAGGCCGAGTTTGCGGAAAATATCCACCACGATCTCCATTGGTGTGTGATCTGTTACAGTAAAAGGGCTCATGTCAAGAATGCTTCTAAGCTTCAATGGCCGAGGGCTTTCTGCTGGAAGCGAAGGGGTATGCTGGGCAAAACAGACCCTGGAACTGCCCACAATGCCTTCCTGTTTCTTTCGGGCACTTTCTGTATTTAGCACAAGGAAAGAAAAATAGTTGAAGAATCTAACTCCCAGAATATTCATCATAAAAGCAGAAACAAGTATATAATCTATTAAAGGATGACTCCACGCAAGAAGTTAGGGCGGCCTATAAATAAAGTATTATTATTTGATACACAACAAGATTAGTACACAGCAAAGAAAATCACTATGCTGACTTTTGTATTTGATCACACGTTGGACACTTCCCAAGTGTCTAGGACCGTGTGATGTATCGGCAAATAGTGTGTGCAGATCCCAGTAGGGTAGCCTTTTGCAGCTGATAGAAGGTAATTTTGTCAGCACCCATTGTTTTTAAGTGCAAGCCAAGGTCTTTAGGCACTGCACCCAGTGTGCCAATCACCACTGGGACCGTGTTTGCTAGCTTGTGCCACAGTCTTTGCAGTTCTATCTTTAAATCATCATCATCATCATCATCATCATCGACACAAAAACACAGTATGACACAGCAAACGAGACATATATGCTGTATTTCATATCACAAAATCACAAGCTGAACACTTCCCAAGCGTTTAGGACTGTGTGATATATTTTCCAATGATGTATGCAAATCCAAGTAAGGTGGCCTCTAAAATATTATTATTATCATCATCATTATTTATTATTTGATACACAACAAGATTAGTACACAGCAAACAAGATCACTATGCTGGCTTTTGTATTTGATCACACGTCAGAAACTTCCCAAGTGTCTAGGACTGTGTGAATAAATACTAATAATAATAATTATTATTATTATTATTATTATTATTATTATTATTATTATTATTAGTCAAAGCCCTTCAGAAGAAAACTGACTTGCTTTGTCATCTAAAGAAAGGTGAGTTATACTGAAAAGAAAAGGCAGGGGAGAGGGTCTGCCATATCACATCTCATCATAATTCTCATTTGATGAGAAAGTGAGAAAGATAAAAACAAAACCGACCTACAAAATGGCTGTGATCACATGTGCTTTTTTTGTTTATTGCACATAAAAGGTTTAACAATTATATAGACATATATGAAACATAAGTTCGCCATTCTTATGACTATACATTTTTTCTTCCCTCCTCTTGTATTTACTTTCATTTACTTTCCAAATACCATATCCCTAGCACCATATTCATGTAATTCTATAAAATTATTTGCGATGACTTAAAAAATATTAGCATGAGGGCAATGACATAGACACTCGAAATAATAAAAACAAACACAATTACCTATTGCAATAGTCAAATCTCTCCTTAAAGCAAATCCCACTAGCCTTTGAGATTCTTTTGACATGATAACAGGGAAACCATTATAGCTGGTCTCATTTATCAAATTTTCTATATCATCCACTGTCATGTTATCTTGCGTGAGCACTGCCAAGGGTGCTTCATTTCTTCGAGGTCTCATGACGTCTGCGGCCAGTGTCGTGTGGGTAAACTCTTCCTTGGCATCCAGGAAGGGATATCCATTCAGACGAATGTGTGCTTCGTAGATACCTTCTCTGCCAAAGGCATCTCCTACCCACTTGCTTGTCATGACTGCAGCCATGAGCGGCACAATGTATTCTAGCCCGCCTGTTAACTCAAAGACAATAACCACCAGTGATACAGTCATCCTTGTCACTCCACCTGAAAGAGAATATATATAATTATCTATATGTTTCTCAATATGTTCTTATGAAGAATGGATAAATGTGGTGTTCCCTGGTTATAGAGATATTCTCTGATAACAAGGCATTCAGCACAAGGCTTTAACATAACATTGCTCTTCAGTAACAGTGATGGAGAAAAGGTGCAACACTAATACAAGGAATAACAAAGGGAATTATGAAAAATTAAATGTGGATTTTTATGACTGACAGAGGTAAACAATTATTTAACCCAATACCATAATTAATCCTTTTCAGTTACAATCTTATAGGCCTGTGGTTCTCAAAGTGTGCTAGTGGAGCTCTTGGGCATACTGAGGGGCTCCACACTTCTCTCCATCCTCCTCCTCCTCCCACTCCAAGCTTTCCTTCCTCTTTCCTGCCCTTCTCTGGCCCACCTCCCTTGCTGCCAAAAGCCTTTCCCCTCAGCGCCCTTGTGCTGAAAGTCTCCCCCCAACAGATTGCCACCAAAAGCTTTTTCCCCTTGCCTTCGTCACCACCCAGACCATTTTCCCCACGTCTTTCTGGATTACAAAACCTTATTTCCTTCCCACCACTCAGGGAGGAGAGGGGTTGTTTGTGCCTTTCCTGCATGACAGAAGGGAGTTGAACTGGATGCCCCCTAGGGTTTCTGCTATTATTATTATTATTATTATTATTATTATTATTATTATCATCATCATCATCATCATTACTACTACTACTACTACTACTACACACTGGGTAGCCATCCATTAGATGTGCCTTGATTGTGCTTTTCTTGCATGGCATAAAGGGGTTGGACTAGATGGCCCCTGGGGTTGCTCCTATTATTATTATTATTATTATTATTATTATTACAAAGGATTGATGGCCATCTGTTTTTGGGTGCTTTGATTGTGCGTTTCCTGCCTGTCAGAAGGGTTTGTACTGGATGGTCCTTGGGGTTGCTCCTATTACTATTATTATCACTACAAATGCTGGATGGCCATCTGTTGGGGGGGCTTTGATTGTGCTTTTCCTGCATGGCAGAGGGGGGGTTGGACTGGATGGCCCCAGGGGTCTTCCACTGAAATACTGTTAAATTTATGTTGGTTAAAATTGTTCTTCATTTAAAATATTGCATTGTTCTATCTTTTCTTTCTTTCTTTTTTGCACTACAAATGGGATAATTGCAGTGTGCATAGGAATTTGTTCATGTTTTGTCAATTACTTCACACACTCTCCATTCATCTGCCACTGGTTCAGCCCGTCTGTCAAATTTTAAATGCGTCAAAAACTTTGCCAATGCCTGATATATATACTTTTGCTTCAAAAAGGGCTCTGCTGCTGGAAAACTTTGAGTACCTCTGTTCTAGGCATTTGTCAGGAACCAAGTCTCATTAACCTGCAAAACATTTCCTTCTAGCAGAGCTGCACAAGACTAAACTTAGTCTCAATGCCAGGAATGCCTGGATCTATGTTTATGTACTATTCAAAAGCCAGAGCTAGAAAACAGCAAAAGATGTGCTGATGTATGTGAAAACAAATTTGAAGCACCAGCTTCTTTTGTGTCAATACTAATCCCAATTCTGAATCAGTTTCAATCTGTAAAGTCCCACCCAAGTCACATCATATTTAAAATTGTTGTGGTGTCAGTTGTTTATTAAATCTCCCCCCCCCCACACTCACACTCACACCCTAAATATAAAAAAAAAACAGGAGAGGTCATCAGTGCATGCACAGATGATAAGTCCATTGTCATTTTGATCATTACACCTATTCAATAATATAATTAAGCTATTTTTTAAAAAACAAAATCTACAACTCAAGGGCTGAACGTTTCCATTTACTCTGTTTATTATCCTTCACAAGCAACCTATGTAAGCAACTTAATAAGGGCTTAATTCCTTTTATCCACTGTGTCATGATTTAGTTACCTAAGCATGCAGCAGCACCAACCATAGCATAGAGGCCTGGTGTTATACAGTCTGCTCCAACCTCACACCACTCCTTGAAGATAAACCAATCATGGTGATAGTAAGCAAGCTGCTCCACCGCAATTCCCACAATTCTCCCAGCAATTGCTCCAACTGCCATACTAGGTATGAACAAGCCTGAAGGAACCTAAGAGAAAGACATTGTAGAATGAATCTTCAAAATATATCTGTGCAGTATTTGGCTGCCTACAAGATTTTAGAACGACAAGGTGGCAAGAGGAATAAGAAAGATATTAACATAGTACCACAATGGGGATTTTCAGAGGAGCTGTGGGTCCAAGTGGTGTTTTTTTGTTGTTGTTTTTTGTTAATACTGGCCTTCTGGAGATATTCTTGGGGTTAAAAACACTTTAGAAGGACTGAATTGCACAACACTTGTCTTGAGATCCAAGACAATGGCAAGCCAGCCTTTCCACAATACTTTCAGGTTTATGTGTTCCACCGTCTCTCACCTGCTTTCTTCTGATGGAAAGTTTAATGGAGAAAGCATGGAATACTTTTCCTAGCATTCTCCTTAACTAAGAAGCTTTAGCACAGCAGGTTAAACCGCCAGCTGTAGAAAATCTTACTCGGTTGGGGTGAGCTCCCACTGTCAGCCCAGCTTCTGCCCACCTAGCAGATCGAAAACAGTATTGCGAGTAGATAAATGGGTACCGCTTTTAGGAGGCGGTAATAAAAAGGCCCCCATAAGAACATGCTGGCGATTCGATTGGGAGGACATCTACAGACAACAAAGCTCCTCTGCGTGGAAGATGGAGCGACAGCACAACCCCGTGGCTGGACTCGAGCAAAGCCTCCTGATGCCAGAGATGGAAAAGATAGGAAAGCCTACCTCTGTTTACGTATTGTCTGCCCTTGTTAATTGTATAACAGCATTAAATGTTTGCCATATATGCGTTCTGTAACCCCACTCCCTGGATTCAAACCGCCGACCTTTCGGTCGGCAGTCCTGCCAGCACAAGGGTTTAACCAACTGCGACACCGGCTAGCACATTGTCAGGGCACAAGTTTTCGCAAAAGCTTTCACAAATGGAAACAGTTTTTCACCTGAAGACAGAGTGGAATATAAATAAAGTATATTATTATATTATTATAAGTCTCCAGGAATATCTGTGAAACATCGCCTGCCTCATGATGGGAAAAGCAGTCAAGTGAGGCACTGTTGTAATCGGGGCAGTCGTTCTGACTTAACATATCTAGGCAGCAGAGACTAATATATTAAATCCAGGAAAAGGACCACTAGAGCTGGGAAGAGGTTTTTAATAGCTCTAGGGATCCAGCAACATTACTGGTACTGTCATCAAAATCACTCCAAACTGAGATACATGAGCAGCACAACTCCTTTATGGAGACACATATTTTATCTTCATGTATCCATACCCAAATAGCTGCCTCCCAGTGCTCCAGTAAATAGTTCTTTTGAAACACTTTTTTGGTTATTAAAGCATTTTTTTCATGTCAGGAGTGACTTGAGAAACTGCAAGTAGAAAGAGGGAGGGAAGTATGGGGACAGGCTGAATTCTTTCATCAGTTCTTGGTATAGTTTAACGTTCAATAATAGTAAATCCAGCCTGAAATCAGGCTTTCCCAAACTACGTAGTTTATGGTAAAAGAGAACACAGTAGTGATTGTTTCTCTTTATTTGAAGTCTTTATCGTCCAAACCTCTGAGGACTTGCAGTCTTCTGATTTCAGGCGGAATTATCAACAAGCTCTTATTTGACAGCCGTAGCAGAGTAAATGGTGTGTCACATGTTGTTTGTTACAAAATAGCTGGTTAATGAATAGCGTAAAGTGAAAGCCTAAGGACATTTTATCAACTCTAAAGAAAAGTAGAAATGGAAACATTCATTGAACATTTATCTGCTTACCGCTCTTCCCACTCTTTTAAAAGCCTTCCCTAATCTGGTATCTCCACATGTAAGTAGCATCACTGCAGCCAACTGGTTCAGGAAGCAAGTATACAGAAAGGCTAAACCATCCTCTGAGCTGAAGGTGCCAGTTCAGAGGATGCTTTAACCTTATTTACATACATGCAATTCTGTTCATGTCTTCTTATAAATATACTGTACTGTTGGGCTTGGCCTCATGTAAGCAGCCCCGAGTCCCCTTGGGGAGATGGTGGCGGGATATAAATAAACTATTATTATTATTATTATTATTATTATTATTATTATTATTATATCCTACTGAGCTCAATGAGACTGTGATGTAAGCATGTACAGGGCTGCAAGAGGAAGACAGAAATGGAGAGGGGGGAAAGAACAATCATGGGGCAAATATTGTATGATATCTTACCTTGATGCCAAAGGTGAAAACGGTCATTATAATCTTAAATATAAGTGCTAAACACAGCTGCCATATCGCTGAATACACAGCAGTGCCTGCTGGACTGTCAGGAATATCATCTACTATTTTACTGACGTTCATGTTGTTTCTGTAATCACAAAGGGAGGAGGATTCCAAGGGGCCACAGTCCGTGAAGAGTTCCTTAATAAGCTCACTGGTGTTGACTCGGGTGTACGGGTTTGGGAAAGCAATGACAGCCGTTATCGCTGCTACAATAATGACCTCCAGAACTGGGTACTTTCCAAACTTGGTTGATTTGCGTCGACGGCACCAAGCGATGTTTGCACGAATGAAAAAGGCTCCCCAGAGCCCACCAAACACACCCAGCAGAATGAATGGCAACAGTTCGAATAAGTACCACGGAGTATGGTATTCCACATAGAAAAGCACTAGCCGACTGTTACCGAAAGGATTGATTGATCTCAAAACAAATGCAGCCACCAACGCAGCAAAAAACGATCGCCACAAAGTTTTCAGGGGAAAGTAGTAACTGACCTATACAAGAAACAAAAAGGAAACGGGTTGACTGGAAATTTTGTTTTCATCCCAACTTACAATAGTTATATGAGCATGTATATTGTCTAAAGGAGGAAGTATGCAAAGCTAATTTGCGATTTGAAACTGCTAGACTGTAAAATCCCCAACATCGCTTGCAACATGAGGAAAATGATTTACATTAAAGTACATTAAAACCAGAACCATGCTTTGATACTCTGCCAGCTTTCAAAATCAAACAATTTTGCAAAACCAAGCAAGGCAGAACCAGTTTTAATTTCTGAAGCTGTTTTGTAATAGTGTGAATTCCCCACAATGAGTCCAATACAAGAAACACGTAACACATGCTAGAAAGGATATGGAATGATCCCATGATTATAAAATTATCTGACAGGTTCAGCCTAGATCTCCTCCCCATACACTTCCCCATACATATCAAGGTGATAATTATATCCAGACACCGGAGAGTAATTCAAACAAGCAAGTTCTCATCAAACACTACAAATAAAAAAACCAATAAGCAATGCTTATACCTACTTCTTCTAGGCTGAAAAGGACTCCACCAATGGGGGCACCAAAGGCTACTGATACTCCAGCTGCAGAAGCAGCTGATAATACCTGTAGAAAAGATAACATAGTTTAAAGGCTTTTACATTTTTAAAATTTAAACAGCTCCTTGATAGGATGCATAGATAAACACTGGCATACATGGACATCAAAGCAGCAAGTGTCAGTAATCAGCAAAATTTAACCTTTACAGTCTTGTGTATAAGCTAACCTCATGTATAAGACAAAAGTTGCAACTACCAAGATTGAATACAATTCAAAGAGGTGCAAACAAAGTCTTAAATATGCTACAACTTGCAAAAAAGTGGAGATATAGAAGCCACATAGGACTCTTTTAGAAGCCCCTCACTTTCCAAATAAACTCCTCTATATTTCCCTTTTTCTGGCAAAACAAAATTATTAATTACTGCTCTTGGATGCTTCTAACTCAGTTGGAGTGGTCCTCTGTACTGTTTCACATAAACACACCACCAGAAGAGAATGTTTAGACATTTTTGAGTTTTTTGTGGTTTTGGCAAACTGGGCTAGCCACCACAGGATTTCAGGACCAGAAAACTGGGCTCATTGCTACTGAAACTTTCCACCCCTGTTATCTAAGAACAGGGACCACCATGTCTTTATTATCTAGCCCACATGAAGAAAGGTTGTATTCCAATGTGGGGGAAAGTACCACAACAGAATTGGAGTGTCTAACTTTAAGTGAGCTCAAAGTTATGGAAAATACATGCAAAAACTTAATATAACTGCCTTACTGAGCCCCAGTAAATCTTCCAGAACATTCCTGCCTCTTCAGGAACAAGTTTAAGAAATACACAGTCAACTTTAATTCTAGGAAAGCTCTTTTACCCTATAACTTTGCCATGCATGGGCATAAAATCAGGATAGCAGAGTCTACACGAGGCTTGTCCAGCCTGCGGCCCATGGCCCGCATGCATCCCAGAACAAATCTGAATGTGGCCAAACACAAAATTATCAACTTACTTAATACATTATGAGATTTTAAAATGAGTTTTTGGTAACTTGATTGCATGGTTCTTGGGCACAAACCTTGTGGGTGACAACGGAATGAAATAATCAGAGTATATTAAAAGATAAAAGTTTCCCCTGACATTAAGTCTAGTTATGTCTGACTCTGGGGGGTGGTGCTTGTCTTCATTTCTAAACCAAAGAGCAGGCGTTGTCAGTAGGCACTTCCAAGATCATGTGGCCGGCATGACTGCATGGAGCACCATTACCTTCCCACAGAAGCGGTACCTATTGATCTAGTCACATTTGCATGTTTTCAAACTGCTAGGTTGGCAGAAGCTGAGGATAACAGTGGGAGCTCAACCCGCTCCCCAGATTCGAACCTGTGACCTTTCGATCAGCAAGTTCAGCAGCTCAGCGGTTTAACCTGCTGCACCACCAGGGGGCTAAGAGTATATTACAGTCACAAATATTGGAGTATTGTCCATAATTTGCATTATAATTGCAAACAGTTCAACCAGAAGACCTGTTTCACAATTTTAAAAACCCTTCAAATGGGGTGGTGCATAATTATTATTGTCAGGCAGGGCTTTTGTTTGTTTGTTTGTTTGTTTTGCTTTTCTGTTGTGGTAGATATAATTAAATGTGTTAGTGTATTTCATGTGTGGACCAAAACAATTTTTCTTCTTCAATGTGTCCCAGAGACGTCAAAAAATTGGACATTACTGTCTACACCGTGGCACAGGAATAACGAAGTCCCCTTACACTGAGTCCTGCTTCTATGTTTTTGCAGAGAGCAAACTAAAACCCTTGAGCGCTCATTTACGTGGCCAATATGCTATATATGTAAAAGCACAGAACAATTCTAGATAACATCTTCATCTATGTCAAAATATGCACATATAAAATTAGCTTTCTTTCTTGATTTTCTGGCTTACTGTCTTATTCTATTAGGAAAACAGGAATTACTCCTTGAAGTCCTTCAAAAAGAGTATCTTCATAGCATTAAGACAAACTTGTTTCTGTTCTCATATACATGATTGGAAATACAAATCATTTATAATTTTAAGAAGTACCTACCTCCCTTTTTTTGGCTTCATTTGTACTATACTTCGGAAAGAGGTAGGAAAAGATATTTCCGCAGCAACAGGCAACGTGTACAAGAGGACCTTCTTTTCCTAAACTCAACCCTGAGGCTACAGCCAAGACTAAAGTGACTGTTTTTATCAACAAGGTCCACTTCCCCAAGTATCCTCTAATAATGAAGCCACTCAATATAGTTTTAATCTAGAACAGAAAAGAAATATATATATTAAAAACCATGCAGATGTTTCATGAAAATTCTCAAAAAATGTCTCAAAAAATCTCTCAGAATTTATATAACATATTAAACAGTACAAAGAAAACAAACTGGTAAATTCTCAGTTATAGTTGTTAAAAGATTATTTAGCATTGCAGTCTGTGAAATAATACAATGACAATGATTTAGAATGGTAATAAGGCACTACCCTTTCTAAATTGATACTGATTAGTATTATTTTTTTAATGCCACACACCAATCCAAGCTGCCAGTATAGTATCAAGTTCAATATGATTAAATGTTTAAGCTGAGGCCATGGAGTGCACTCAAAGAGTTCTTTAGTCCCATGTCTATCTCCATTCCTGGATTACAGTCCCTCCGGACATTTTGGCTATTTCAGATATGCTTTGATAACAAAATTCTTACTCAGGAATAGTTTTGTTGTTTTCTACGAACTGTATCTGCTATATTCTCTTAAATAAATCTAAGCAGTGACATAGAAAATGTCAGAAATATTAAAAAAAATAACTAGATATTTTTAATTACAAAAGCTGCAGTTCTATATAAGCAGGTATGCCAGTAGCTTAGTTGCTATCAGTCTGAGATAAACCTCAGTGGGAGAAAAGTCTCAGTCTGTGAAAGCCTGAAGAAGAGAAGGCTGAGAGGAGATATGATAGCCATGTATAAATATGTGAGAGGAAGCCACAGGGAGGAGGGAGCAAGCTTGTTTTCTGCTTCCTTGGAGACTAGGACGCGGAACAATGGCTTCAAACTACAAGAGAGGAGATTCCATCTGAACATTAGGAAGAACTTCCTGACTGTGAGAGCCGTTCAGCAGTGGAACTCTCTGCCCCGGAGTGTGGTGGAGTCTCCTTCTTTAGAAGCTTTTAAACAGAGGCTGGATGGCCATCTGTCAGGGGTGATTTGAATGCAATATTCCTGCTTCTTGGCAGGGGGTTGGACTGGATGGCCCATGAGGTCTCTTCCAACTCTTTGATTCTATGATTCTATAATTCTATGAAGGCCTCACAGTATGAGACAGGCCTTAGTCTGAGAGAAGCCTGTGTGAGAGAACGCCTCAGTGGGAGAATAGGTCCCAGTGTTAGTAGGCCTCAGAGTGTGAGGTAGGCCTCAGTATGAAAAGGCCTTGTGTGTGAAGCTCCAGTGTGAAGGTTGAACTTTATCTGTGTCATGAAAACCTCGTTCTTGTAAATAGTGTAACCATATTATTTCACTACAAAGAAAACCCTCCTATGGAAGAGATAACATTGGTTTGTGTGTTTTTGTTCTTTTTATCACTTTGGGCTACTGGTATTAGGTCACGCTGCTGCTAATAAGTTACTCTGCTGTACATTTATGAAGAGGGTCTTTTGTTAATAAGCCCACTCACCCAACAGAAAAAAAAACTTTACTTCAATACATTTGTTTAATGTATTTTACAGTTTACAAAGTAAAAACATATAACAATGCAAATCTTACCTCTGGAATCCCAGAGCCACAGGCATAAGGAGCAAACACTTTAACAAGAGAAACTGCCAGGAAAGCAAAACTCAAAGCCCAAAATATATATATTATGTAGTTCATTATATAGGAACCTGGTCCCTAAAAAAACAAAACAAAACAAAGCAGAGCTGTTAGCAAATATTTCACTGGAAATTAGATTAAAATTTCACATATAAAGATTGCAGTTCTGTAGCTCAAAGCACCATGGTGGGTTGGAGCCATGCCATCTCCTATCATACTGAATTACTTCTGAAGCCTCCCTGTTCTATACTTTGTGATGAGCAGACAGCATGTCTGCAGTGAAATGTGGAATGATTATTGTAGCACTGAGAACTCCAGAAGACCAAAGTGGATCTCAGAGCAAATGTCATCATTTCATATCTGGCAACAGGGACACAGACAGGCGTCTATGAACCTACTCTTTCTTTATGAAGCATGAATGACAGAAAAGAAGGACTTCATAGACTACTCAGGAAGACAAGGAAGGAGGTGCTGTGAAAGGAGAAAAGAAATTTCAATCTCTGCAGCATCCAAAAAAGGGCATGTGCACATGTAAGGTAAAATTAGACACCTGTATGTCTCCAATAGGAAACCGGCCAATAAGGTCTCTGAAGTCATAATTATGAATATCGTAAAGCAGCCACTGGTCATATAACCACTATGCTTGATTTTTATTTTCATGTTTAAAAAACAAAACTCCAGTCCAAGAATGCAAATACTTTCTCTCTACATATAAACCTGCAAAAAGTTTTATATATGCTGAGCATATATATGCACAAGCAATCTTCAAAGCAAAAGGCTTTGAAAGTGTCAAAAACCAACTTACTAATGCCCTGAAAGATCTCTTCAGCTACTATAAAGGCAATCACCAGAAACCTAACCCTACCAAGACACAAGTGTGTGCTTTCCACCTACGGAACCATGAAGCCAACAGGAAATTGAAAGTTACCTGAGAAGGCGAAGAGCTCAAACACTGTTCCCATCCTAAATATCTCGGTATCACCTGAGATTGAATACTAACGTTTAGGAAAACCTGTATTAGTACCAAGCACAAAGTAGCTGCAAGCAATAACATCCTGCAGAAAGCTACTGGCAGTGCATGAGGTGCAGACCCAAAATTAATAAGAACATCCGCCCTGGCCTTGTCTTACTCAACTGCTGAGTATCCCTGCCCTGTTTGGCACTAATCTGTCTACACAAAGCAGGTGAATATAGCACTGAACAAAACAGGTAGAATAATGATAGGATCAAAAGGCAACCTGGCAAAATGGCACTACCTCAAAGGACAAGGTCTAGGCTGCACTGTTCCTATTACAAAAGATTTGGTCAATGGAAATTTGATTTCAATCTAAGAGCTTTACTTACCTCTGCCTGACCAATTATCAGTTCTGCCCATGTTTTCCATAGTGGACATTTATCTCGCTCCTCAAATGTTGTTTCATTTGATGCCCAGCAACACTGCTCATGGTTGAACCATAGGGCACTGAGACAAATACCTTCTTTTAAATCAGTCATCCAGTCTGCAGCAATGTCTATCAAGCCAGCCAGTGCACCTGTTGTATAAAGAAAGGTTCAGTACACACAGAGACCATAAATAGGCAAAAATTGCCATCAATATATTCCAGTATAAGCTGAGTCACCTAATTTTACCACAAAAAACTGGGGAAATGTATTGACTCAAGTATAAGCTGGGGTGGGAAATGCAGCAAATACTGGTAAATTTTTAAAAAATAGATACAATAAATTCCATTAATTGAGACATCAGTAGGTTAAATGTTTTTCAATATTTACATAAAACTGTAATTTAAGATAAGACTGTCCAACTCTGATTAAACCATTATTCTAACCCTTTTCAATGTAAATGTGCTTACGTATCCTTTCAATAATAATAGAGTAAAATAATACATGTAATAAAATAATAATAATAGAGTAAAATAATGGAAAAGTAATAATAACAGTAATAACAGAGTAAAATAATAAATGTAATAACAATAATAAATGCAATAATAACAATTATAGAGTAAAATAATACATGTAATAATAACAATAAATATAGTAAAATAATAATGTAATAAAATAATAACAACAGAGTAAAATAATAAATAACTTTGAAGTATACGTTGAGGAGGGCTTTTTTCAGCCTAAAAAAGGGCTGAAAAACTCAGCTCATACTCAAGTATATACAGTATACAGAAAACAATTAATATGTAAAGTATTTAAAACACAGGAATGATCAAATTCCTTCTGTTCAAAAACAATGAAAACAGTGTTGTCAAGATGCATAGACTTGTAGCTCAAATAAGATGGTGCTCATATTATTAAAGAAAGAACCAGCATAAAGGATTACATGGTTAATGATGGTTTGTACCACATACTTTATGTTGCTTATTGTTATTAAACAAAATAATATTAACTGTGAAAGACATTGCAAATGTATCCCTACTAGTTCAGAAATTGCATGTGCAAAAGGCTGCTGTTTGAATAGATATCAGGGCTGGATCACAGTAGCATAAGCTAGAGCAGTGCTACTCAAAGTGGGAGACTCTGGAAAGTTCCAAGGAAAGAAAGAAAGAATCATATCCAAAGGTCACAAATTTAGTAAGGGTCTCTGGCACAATGAAAAATAATTGCTGGTCCCTCACCTCAAATAGCCTGAGAAGCACTGCCTTAAAACACAGTATATGTATGTCGGAATGCGACCCAACCAGACTGGAAGCAGAGAAAACAATGTGATAGAACATATATGAGCATTCCAAGGTCTTCTTTCAGTTTCCGCCTCCTCTCCAAGCCACATCCAAACTACAACTACTGAAAAATTGTTGTGCAAGCTATGCTAAATAAGGACCCAACTTAAGAGTTGTGGTGTCTCCTAACTAAACATGTCACTACTGACATTAGTAACTACCTGCTTAGAGCTCAAGTATACATACCATAGTTATACCCAGTGCGGTGAACAAGTCACTCAAGATGTGCGTGTGTGTGTAGCTCTGAATTCTGACCAGAGAAATACGTTCTATTTATCAAGAGAGAGAGACAAGATAAAGCCAACAGAACTACACAAACCTCTCTCTCTCTCTTTTTTTAAAAAACAATATATGGGCGTAAATCCAACCGGTAGTCTGAACTAGATGAGGCCCATCAAATCAATGAGATTTATATAAGAGTTGCTGAAATATTCAATGGATATACTGTAACTGGATTTAAGGGCTCGGCACTATTCCTCTTTCCAGATATACAGACATCCATACACACACACACACACACACACACACACACACACACACACACAAGTTTGGCTCCAAACTTCTCCTTGCACAATTAAAAAGCACTTTCAGTCACTCATGGACACTGTGCATGTGTATTTCCACTTCTTGTTGAATCTTCTTCCATTTGCTCTCTCTATGATGTATCACATGTTGACACAAATGATCCCCAGCCCTCAGGAAGGCACAAGGTGCTGCAGGAGAAAGACGGGGGCAGAAAAGCCCCAGGGTGCACCCATCTTTGGATCTAAACTGTAGTTATCACTGATATAATCCTGTGCCTTCACTTTAGAGATGAACTGGGAGCATGTGTATTGGAGGTTATGAACTGTTTCAGACACCTGAGTTCTGGCATCACAAAAACTCATGATTAAACTCAATGCAATCAGAAAAGGAAAAACCCTTAGGATGGTAGGGATTCCAAGAGAGTATTTTCAAGGCTTAGCACTTGCTCAGGTACTAGACATAAATCACATTTCTTTTTCTTAAATTAGATAAGGGGTAAAGTTGTGTTTTAAAACATCAAAGCCACTTTTTCGTATCAGGAACAACTTGAGAAACTTGCTTCTGGTATGAGAGAATTGGCCATCTGCAAGGATGTTGCCCAGAGGACATCCAGATGTTTTACCATCATGTGGAAGGCTTCTCTCATGTCCCCGCATGGGAAGCTGGAGCTGACAGACAAGAGTTCACCCCGCTCCCTGGATTCAAACCACCGACCTTTCAGTCAGCAGTTCAGGGTTTTAACCCACTGCACCACCGGGAGCTCCATCAAAGCCACTAAAGCACTGGAAAACACTCAATGGAATGTAAAACAAAACAAAACAAAACCTGCCTGTCTATTCTGAAACAATATTATATTACCCCCTCCTCTCTTTCCAAGAGACACTAAGAGTCCAACAAAATGGGCTTCGTTGGGATTGGAAATGTTGCATCGAAACTAGACTATGTTCTATAAAGACTTATCAAACAATAAATATGGTATTCTTTACTTGATATTTCATCTTCTAAAACAAATGTTATGATCACACTGACCTGTTTTGCTTCGAGAACAAACATCATATCCTTTACTGGATAGAACTGAATATTTTACTTGGCCAGAAAACAAAAGAAAACTAGAAAACAATGAAAGCCTTTCATGTTCAGGAATTCTCTACAATATGTTTACACTCAGGAAATCCATGATAACTTCGTTTAAAAAAGCAAAAAAGAGCACTGTATTCTGTGCTCATCTAGACAAAAATTCAAAATCAGTGGAACCACAGAAATATTTAGATTCAAAAAGGGCTCGTGTGAGGTCTTCATGTGAACAGTTGATTGAATGGTCCAAGAAATGAAATAAAGTGGGAAAGCACCTGGAATGATCTATATCCCACTGTCTCAAACCCACATAGTGCAGATTCTCAGTGCTAACAACTGGAGCTTGCAACTGCAATCTTATTTACCAGGAAGTAATCTACTGAACCAAATGAAACTTAGTTCCAAGCAAGAATGATTTCATAAGGTTTCAAAAATTAGAATGACTTATCCACACTGTTCCTACCTGATGCTAATCCAGTTAGTGTTACAACCAGCCATCCTGACCATGCATCATACAAACTCTTTGTCATCTCCCATGCTGATTCCTTCTTCTTGCTGTTGATCTAAGGAAACAAAATATTTCTGCATTATATATCTTTAATGGATTAATACATTATTTGCAAAATATACCGTATCCTGATGAGCTATGGCTCCAAAGGTTCAAAGGGGATGTCCCTGGAACTTCTTACATTTTTACTTAAAGCCTCCATCAGTTTAAGTTATTTATTTGTGGAAAGCTGTCAGATACTGAAAGAGTCAAGCCCTTTTACTACTGCTGGACTTTGCTTAGTTTCTTAGTCTGAGAAAAATTCTCCACAAATAAGATTCCAGCTTTTCAGTTCTGCTTGTGCTAAGAGAAATGTACAAATGGACATGTGGCAAATTGTTATAGATTCTTAAACATGATTATGAAAATGGTTATAGATTCCTAAAGATGGAAAGGGGACAGTTCCATCTTGTCTCCTGCATATGTCATCAGTTGGGGACCCCCTTCCCCCAGCACCAACTGCCGCTCTGGGCCAGAGTGAAGAGAGGGAGGGCCAGAAGACAGTTCCATCTTGTCTCCTGTGCTATGCTAATAATATAATAATTAATATAATATAATATAATATATTGTATATACATATATTTATAATATTATAATGTAATACAATATAATATTAATAATAATGATATAATTAAATATTTCATATTACATGTAATATTACTAATAATATTACAATATAATGGTATAGTACAATATAGTAATATATAATACTGATATTGTACTATGCTAATAATATAATATATTGTATGTATATATATCTTATAAGCCGCTCTGAGTCCCCTTCGCGGTGAGAAGAACGGCATATACATTTCGGAAATAAATAAATAAGTAAATAAAATGTTTGTTAACCACAAGCAACCTGAGCTCTAGTTTGCAAAATTATTGTATTGCTTTAAACACTATGTTAAATGAAAAATAGATTTTTCACCCAATAATGAACCATATAAATGGGTTGTTGTAAGTTTCCAAGGCTGTATGGCTATGTTCCAGAAGCATTATCTCCATACATGGCCATAAAGTCCAGAAAATGCACAGCAACCCAGTGATTCTGACCATGAAAGCCTTTGACAACCATGTAAATGTTTGTTGCCATTGTTGCTTAACATTCACCAGGCAACAATAATGTAACATCTTAACAAGGCACCAATCTTTCTTGCCTTTGAATAATTATCTTAAAATGATATGAAATGATACATAAAAGTATAAAGAAAAGTAGTATCTTAAAGTAGTTTTAAGTACCCTTCTGTGTCTCTCTCTGTCTTTGCATTTCTCCCGCACCCAATCAATAGTATGGAAGTCATCATAGGTTCCAACCCCAGGAATGGGCTCGTCCAAAAGGTCCAGCAAATGTGTTGTACTATTAATACTTCCACCATTTGTCATTGTATAATGAGTTCCAGCTATGGGAAGAAAATGAGAAATGATTAAGCCTTATAACACAAATATAGACTATATTTGACATATAGTCTATGTCTAATGATACTCTAACTACAAATCAAACAAAAACAGATCTGTTGATGAGTGGATCTCTTGGTAGTCTCTCATTCACAAGGTTATCATATAGCCTGGGGTTGACTTGATAGCAAATAACAACAATAAAGTATTATGTTCCATATAGGAGGTGATATTTTACACTGGTCATCAGATTGTCTGTCAGAAAAAATCTCTTTGAAAGTTATATATACAAATAACGTTATTCTAACAACAGGAAATCTATTAAGGGGAAAACTGATTTGCTCATATTTCTCATATTGATACATTTCTTCCATATGATTAATGGATTAGGCCATATTCATGCATCACGATAAGATTCTCTGGAACTCTGGCTTATTGTTATGGTTTAAAGTGGCCACTCAGCTATTTTTAAAAGGTTAGAAATACTGGATAAACTAGAGTGTTGGCATCTACACTCTGCTGCAATCCATATGCAAAGCAGCTTTTTTTCTGACTGCTGTGATGCTAATCAAAGTACAATGTGTCTCTCACTGTTAAGCAGGTTAACAGGCAACTATGAGCCTCATCACACTAGAGACAAAATCCACTTAAAATCCTGTTTCTGTCTCCTGCAGAATTCTAGTTTAGGGAAGAGTCTTTAACAGCCTTACTAAACTACAAACCCCAGAATTCTGCAGGTTTTTCCACAGTTGAGTAAGGAATCAAACCTAGTCCCTACAGTCATAGTTCAACACTCAAACTACTACACCACCCATTCCGCAGCATGAGACTATATATTCAAAACAATATATTCTTAAGGTTCTTTTCCTTCCTTCCATTTCTTATTTGAATTTCATCAGTTTGGGATACATGCACATTTTCAAGAAACTTCCTACTACCAAGTAGGGAGTTTAGTGAAGTTTCAATTAGAAAAAAATATTTCCCAAGTTTTCAAACACTTTACAAAAACACTATTATTGTGTGGTTCAACTAGCATCAATCATGCCCCTTCAATTCTATGCCTTTTATTACTTATTATTTGAATGTTTCCCAATATTTGTTATAAACCGCCCTGAGTCCCCTTGGGGAGACAGGACAGGATATAAAAAAAGTTTTATAGCTATTATTATTATTATTATTATTATTAGAAGCAAAACAAAACAAAAACACCAGAAAAAAAACTGAAATAGAATACCCCTTTTCACATGCTTTAGTATTTCTGTTTTAATATACTCATATGTGTCAATTTATACAAAGAAAAATAATTCCTGATTCTTCAGCTTTTTTTCCATTTAAAAATATCCCCCTAAGCAATTTTTTTCTCCCTACAACCTTGATTTTGACAATAGGCTGGTGAAATTTTCTGAAGGTGTCCTTGGGTCATGGCTGCTCTATGAAAGTAGGTCACACGTTAGTTAACAGGTTTCAAATAACATGTTTCAAAACAGAACTTCAACACCTTCAGAATGACAGCTGCTCATGGTTAAATAACTGGTTTATACTAATGCTTTCAAATATAATGAGTTAAATCCCACAAATTTTAATTCTTGAGTCACATAGCTCAGGATTCAGTCTCTCCACATATCTTTTACCAAAGGGGGGAAAACCTCTTGGCAAATATTTATATATTATTGTAAAGTAATTTAGACGGGCAATAAACACTGCCCAGGAATTAAATCTCTCTTTCATATGGGCATAACTACAATTGCCAAATATAAACCCCAACTTTCTAAAAAAAAAAAAAAAAAAAAGCAAAAAGACAGCAATTTCCCAGTGTATAATGATTCATCAATGGAGATTAACACAGTAGCATGTCCTTCCTGAGTCTTGGCTTTTTTTTTAGAGCAGGTGTGAGCCTCCTCAGGTGATGGACAAAAGCATTCCTCAACATGAGTTAGGTCTGCTGGGATTTACAGTTCAACAACATCTTTATCTATCCTTATTTCAGAGGCAGTGAAGACTTGGTTAGTCATGGGGAAGAGCAATCTGTACAGAGGAATCAAATTAGCCCCTTTCCTGCTACTTTCATCAACCTGAACTCATTTCGATTAAATTGGACTCAATGCTCTGCTGATTGATTCTAGCCCCATCTCCTAAGACTTAAGTTACATCCTCTGGGAACAAAGTTCCTAAAGAGATATGACCTGTCTGAAGCCATTTCGTAGAGGCAAAAAGTATAAACAACCCAATTGCAAGCAATGCTTTATGTCCACTAAACATTTCTATAGGTAAAGTAAAGGTTTCCCCTGCCATTAAGCCGTAACCAACTCTGAGAGGTGGTGCTCATCTCCATTTTTAAGCCATAGAGCCGGCATCATCTGTAGACACTTCCAAGGTCATGTGGCTAACATGACTGCATGGAGCGCTGTGACCTTCCCGCAGCAGCGTTACCTATTGATCAGCAAGTTCAGTAGCTCAGCGGTTTAACCTGCTGTGCCACCAGGGAGCCCATTTCTATACACGTTATTAAATAAAATACAGAAAATCTAAAAAGATTTTAAAGAACCAATGGATAATAAGAAAAGGAGAAGAGGACAGGCAATCCTACACTCATGTGTAATTCCCATATCCAACTTGAAAGAAAAAAACAGCTCAAGAACTTGTTTCAGTAAAACGTTTACAAAAATTTAAGTCCAAAATATTCAGTATAATATTGGCAAAACATGACCTGTGACAGATTCAAGAACTGTACAGAAAGTAGCAAGGGCTATCTGATCTTTGAATGTACATGGGAGAACACTAGCTTTCATGCTTCATGCTTCATTTGGAATATAAAAGACAATTAGACCCTTAAACTTAAGATAATATTTAGTGGTAGTTCTTTCTAATATATCAAAAGTAAACTTCCCAGGATAAAAACTGATAAAATGAGCTCTGACCAATGAATTTATCTCATAATAAATCAGATTCAGCACTTGACAACACTACAAGGTTTTCTTTCTTTCCATAGGGGAGGAAAAACAACACAACACTGGAGTTTTGTATTGAAAACTCAGCTACTAAGTGTACAGTAGACATGAAGATTAGTACTCATTACTACCCAATATCCACAGCTAAATCTAGTAACACACAAAGGCTTGCCAAAGACAGAGTACAAACCCAAGGCTTTGTTTATTGCATTAGCAAATGACAGAACTACAATCTGGGACAGAATGATAAACTACATGAAGCAGGAAGACATAACATTTGAAGGACACGGGTAAATGAACATGTGTGAACATATGTGATGGAAGATACACACACACACCCAATGACATTTCTAGTACAGGAAAGATGATTTAGGATTATTCAAATGCACCCATTAACAGCTTTCGATCATGCTACTTTTTATATCTATTTCCCTCTTTGGGACACAAATCTAAGCTTAAGAATATGATAAATGTGAAACAATGTAGCATGACTTGTTTGCCTAATATCAGGCCCACAGTAGCAACTTTTAACGAAGGCCAAAGCAGACAGAACACAGTCTACTGCTATAATTCAAAATGGGTGTGTGTTGGAGGGGGAGGGGGCACTGTTTGGTTCAATGAAAAATAGCCCAACAAATTGTTTTAAAAATTGGCAGTGTAGGAGAGCTCCACTGCCAAGTTGAATTGCTCATAATTGCATATCATAATTGCAGTGTAGGGGAGCAGATGTTAAAAGAACAAGGAAAAGCATGCAAAAAGGGTAAGAAATGGCTTATTTCTATTGTAATATAAAGCTTTAACAGTGACTCCAGCAGTCTAGCAAGTTTGTCAGGTTTTATTTCATCATAAGCTTTGCTATGGGCCCTTCCACACAGCCCTATATCCCAGAATATCAAGGCAGAAAATACCACAATATCTGCTTTGAACTGGATTATTTGAGTCCACACTCAGATAATGTGGGATTTTCTGCCTTGATATTCTGGGATATAGGGCTGTGTGGAAGGGCTCTAAGATTGGTTCTTTAGGCCTATTCTATCTGTGCAATATTTTCTAAAAAGTTAGAAACACAATTGCTATGAAAAAGAAACTGAACTGTACAATATATTAGAACATATCTGTTCTCTATCAGCTGTTAGGACTGCAGACACATGGTAGGCCAGTAAAAGCATGGGAGCTATACACAGGGCCCTTCCAGACAGGCCCTATATCCCAGGATCTGATCCCAGGTTTTCTGTTTATCCCAGATTATCTGGCAGTGCGGGCTCATATAATCCAGTTTAAAGCAGAAAACCTGGGATCAGATCCTGGAATATAGGGCTTGACAGGAAGGGCCCACAGCCACAGGACTACTGAAGAGTACAGAAAGAACATAAGTCTCTTTTGTTGTCTTCTGAAAACAGTTTGACATTTATTTTATTACAATTTTGAAAAATGTTTCAATTTTACAAATGGGAAGCTGAACCTAAGCAGTGTCACCACTCAAACTGATAAATAAGTCTCAACAAAACCTGGTGCTTTAGGAGGGATGGAGGATATTTTTCACTAGAATCAGCAGTGCATACCCTATATGTCCAGAAATGGTAGTTTAAAAAAACTTTTTAAACTTGGGTCAACTTACCCATGGGTCAACATAGGTTCTATCCCTTTTACTGCAAAAGATGAAAGTTTGGTTCATCCTGGGATAACCTAAAAAAATATCCTTACTTTTCTGAATGCCTGAGTGGGGAAATGGCAGTGGCAGCTTGGGGTGACAGATCTCCAAGGTGATACTGGCATTTTCTTCTCTCTGTGGAAGAACCCCTCACCTATCCACAGATCATATCAACATCTATAATTTTGAGCTCAAAATCTGTCCTCAATTTATACATGAGGTCAACATATATATGAGTATATACAGTAAATGCTGACAAACTCAAGATTCTGTTTTCTCAAGTCCAGAATACAATCCTTTACCGCAACCAACTTGACCTCTTTCAGATCTAAGGCTCACCATCTGCCCAAACCTGCAGCCTAGTACCGATGTGCTTTATGTGTAACTCTCCAACTTCTCACCTCTT